GTCGGGCAGACGGGATGTGAACAGTTTCTTGCTGGGAAAACGGGACGTGAACAGAGTCTCGCTGGGCAGACGGGACGTGATCTGTCTTTCGCTGGGCAGACGGGACGTGATCTGTCTTTCGCTGGGCAGACGGGACGTGAACAATCTCTCTCTGGGCAGGCGGGACGTGAACAGTCTCTCGCAAGGCAGACGGGACGTGAACGGTCTCTCGCTGGGCAGACGGGACGTGAACAGTCTTTTGCTGGGCAGACGGGACGTGAACAGTCTCTCGCTGGGCAGATGGGACGGGGACAGTCTCTCGCTGGGCAGACGGGACGCTAACAGTCTCTCGCTGGGCAGGCGGGCATTTCCTCCTTCTCCGTCCATGACGGTGAGAAGCTGGTCCAGAACTGCCCTCCACCGGTCCAGGATCGAAGGGGGGCCAGGATGGATGGTGATGTTGACCCTCCTCACGACCACCTCCTCCTCCTCCTCCTCCTTTACAACCTCCCCGGGTCCCATGAAAAATTACCTGGCGGGTCCCCCGAAAATCTCTCCTGTGACCTCCACGGGTCTCAGAAACCCTGGCCAAGTGCTCCGACTCCTCCTTTTGATGAGCCATCAAAGCGAGAGCGTGGAAAATGTTCATTCTTCCAGACTCCTTACAGGGCAGAGTCCTTCCGTCACCACTGGAAGGAGAAAATTGGGTAGATCCAAATGTGTAAATGATGTAATCCGGGCAATCCAAGTCATCGTCGTCCATATAAGTGTCTTCCATATTCCTCCTGCCAAAAACCTCCATGCTGCTGAGTTCTCAAATGGTCGGTTTGTTCTGTCACGGTACAAACAGGAAGGGAGAACTCAAATGCAAAAACAAGGAGGATTTATTAACAAAAAGAAAACCAAAACACAAAGCAAAAACCCACGAGGGGGAAAACACAATAAATGAACATGAAACAAACACTGACTCTGAACATGAAGATATCCACAAAGAACTGGGAAGACATATGACAACGAACCAACAAAGACTGCAAACAAGAGGAGACTTAAATAGGGAACAAATCAAGAGGGAACAGGTGGGAGAACTCAAACACTAATCAGGTAACGAGGGGGAGTATCAAACAATGACAGGAGCACATGGCTCAACATAACAAAACCACCCATGTGCTAACACGATAGGACAGACACGTGACAGAACAGTAATGAAGAAGCAATAAATTTCAATGTAAGGAATTTATATAAAAAACATCTATGGAATGTTCTCGTTCAGATAGCTAAGTGAACGTGTGTGTGTGTGTGTGTGTGTGTGTGTGTGTGTGTGTGTGTGTGTGTGTGTGTGTGTGTGTGTGTGAGTGTGTGTGTGTGTGTGTGTGTGTGTGTGTGTGTGCGTGTGTGTGTGTGTGTTATTGGGACAAAATGTCCCCACAAATATCCCAATATCTGAAATCTTTGTCCTTGTGGACATTTTTGGTCCCCATGAGAAAAAAAAACAGCTTTTAAATCATACTAAATGCTGTTTTTGGATAGCATTAACTACAGTTAACTATTAACCCTCAGGTGCTCTTCGTTTCGGAGTCACACTTGTTATCTTCCCGGTCAAAAGTGACCGGACACCTAAAAATGAAACTTTCTCCATCCCAGTAAGACCAATGCAATTTATTTTTGTTCTATAATATTTATTCTTTTTAATTTAGTATTTTGAGACAATTTAAATGAACTTATTAATATTTATGCAATATTTATGGAAATATTAGAAAAATATGAAATATTATGAAAACATTATAGAAAAATATATATTATTTTCTGTATATATATTATTTTCTTCAAAAAAATATTAATGCAGTATTTTAGTTTAATATAGAGTCTAGGCCTTCAGAAAAAAAAATATTTTTTGAAGAAAATAAGCACCATCTGGTTACAGTATAGAGAAAAAGCGTAGAATCATGGTGTAACCACTAGATGGCATGTACAGCTCTCTATTGAGTGGCATGTGAATTCCCCAGCTGTATATGAACACATTTTTGTTGTTGTTGTTGTTGGTGGATTTGTATATATAGTTATAAAAAATATAATATAAATATATATATAAATATATATATATATATATATATATATATATATATATATATATATATAAAATGACAAAAACAAATATTCACAATTTTTTTTCTTTTTTTTTACAATTTCCCATTCATTTCCTATGGGGTCATTTTTGACCAAAGACCACAAGTGTGACTATTTTTTTTAAGACCACTTAGCATGCTCAGATCATGACCTCAATTTTTCTGTGTGTTCACATACATAACGCCATAAAAGTCACCAAGTTTCGTAACATCGTGATGAAGCTGTGATTTTTAAAAATTCAAAACATACTTTTTATAATCAAAATTTATTGGTGTGTATGTGTATAAAAGTGTGTTTGTATGTGTGTGTGTGTTGGTGGGTGTGTCTGTTTTGCACTCTAGATGTTGTAGAGTGTCACCCCTTTCTTGCGGTGTACTTTTTTTTTTAGAATTGTGGCCGATTTGTAGATTGTACATACAAAAATTCAGAGAATTTTTTTTGTATCAATTTCCCATTCATTTCCTATGGGTTGTCATTTTTGACAGAAGAGCAAAAGTGTGACACATTTTTTTACGACCACTTAAATTGCTCGAATCATGACCTCAATTTTTTGGTGTGTTCACATACCCAATGCCATAAAAGTCACCAAGTTTCGTAATTTTCTGAAGAAGCTGTGATTTTTAAATATTCAAAACAGATATCTTTAATCACAATTTATTGGTGTTTTTGTGTATAAAAGTGTGTGTGTATGTGTGTGCGTAGGGGTGGGTATGTCTGTTTTGCACTCTTGATGTTTTACAGTGTCACCCCATCAATGCTGAGCACTTTTTTTCTGCATCGTGGCCGATTTGTAGATTGTACACACAAAAATTCTCAAAGTTTTTGTGTTTTTGTCAATTTCCCATTCATTTCCTATGGTCGGTCATTTTTGACGGAAGAGCACAAGTGTGACTATTTTTTTTTACGACCACTTAGCATGCTCGGATCATGACCTCAATTTTTTTGTGTGTTCACATACCCAATGGAATAAAAGTCACCAAGTTTCGTAACATTCCGATGAAGCTGTGATTTTTAACATTTCAAAACATACATTTTTTCGGTCAGAAATGACCGAAGAGCACCTGAGGGTTAAATGTAAGATGCAATTATTATTAATGAAAGTTAATTTTAAGTGGTTTAAATTTTAATTCTGTGCTTTTCAAAGAAATTCAGAATTTCTTTTAAATACTGTTTTTGGATTTTCTGTGGTTTTCTGTTTAGAGGTGTTTAGGGTTGGGGGATATATACAGTTTGTGCTGTACAAAAATCCTTATGTCTATGTACGTAATGTCCCCATAAAACATGAAAACCCAACATGTGTGTGTGTAATGACACTTGTTCAGTTGAGTCTTCAGCAACATAATAGCAGCACAGGTTTTGTTTACTGTTCTAATACAGCAGGAGTCTTGTTTCAGTCATACACCCAACCCTTCATTCAGGCCTGGGCAATGACTGCCTAATAAATACATACAGGTTTTGTTATGTTTGTTTTGATTTAGAGATTGCAGATTGGCATCTCTACATTTAAAACATCGATCCATTGTGTTATTAGTCCAATTTAATACAGATGATAATAAATACATATGAAAAAGTCCTTGGATAATTAAAACAAAGTCAACTACTGAACAGATTCTCATCCATTCTTACATTTCCTGTGGTTTTTAGGTTGTATGAAATGACACCAGTGTGATGATTGATTAGATACAGTAAGAACATCCAGGTGGCTTTATGCTTGGTGCTGGTCTACTAATTGAACATAAATAGTCAGCCTGTCAACAAGGTGTCATCTCAAAAAGTTTAAATCGAGTGTTTTAGAGTAATATGTGTTAGTCATTTAGTCATTTACTAATTTTTTCAAAAAACAGTTGTTCACAGCCATAACAATGCTTCTATTATTGTAATTACAATATTATAAATTATTTAATATTGCACTGTTTATTATAAGAGCTCACCTGGAACTCTTCATAGTTTAGGAAGAACGTGCAATAGGATTCGATATTACAAAATCTCGAAGTAACAGCTTTGACGATTATTTGGTGTAGATAATTCAATATTTTTGTTTTTGTTTGTCAGGGTTTCTATAGGATCATTTAAAGAACAACAACTGTTTGAATGCGGATACATGAGTGTGCGTGTTTTAGAGCTTGACATTGTTTTGTTTTCTTGATCTGGAATGTTGCATGTCACCATGACTGATGTAAACCGTCATAGTGCCTAAACCACTCTGGGGGTTTGTTTTGTACTTTTTTAGTTCCTTTTTTTTTAACAGACACTTTGACATGAAATATTTTCCTCTGGCACATTTTCCTGTGAAACACTAGAAGTATGTCCCTTGCAGACAGTTGTCATTAAAATGACATAATCAGATTTTGAACCTCCACATCATCATACCTCTGCAAAGGCAGATTATCATCAGAAAAGGATGTACATGCTGTGTTTGCATGTGACATGTAATTTCCCATAAACTTTAGAATCCCTCTTTCATTTCCCTTTTTTTGCTGGTTGGACTTTGTACCTGTTCGCAGCCTGTTTCATTTGCTTTAGATAGGAAAAACTTGCTTGACACAGACAAAACACACAAGAACAGCTGATGACGAGTAGCCTATATGTTTTCGTATATCAATTGCAGTTTGCTAAGTAAATAAAATCTCTGTATTGCTTTAGTGTCTTTATAACTATCATACTGTAATTCCCTAATGAAAATAAACAATTTGTAATGTCAGGCATCTTTAAGTAAAATGCTGTGCGCTTCTTTTTATTCAAGGGGTAATCCATAACATGTTCTGAGAATGTGTGTCTGTGTCTGTTGTCGGGAAAACCTCTCCTTGTTATTCAGGTTTCCTCACGCACCTGTGGGTGTGAAAGGGGAGGAGAGTTCACTTAACCTCCCTTACAAATCTGATTCCTTCTCATTTGTCATTTCACTTCTGTTGTATTTATGCCAGCATTGGAGTTGTTTTTCTTGGGGTGATTTATTTTTTTATTTTTTAAGCCTTCATTTTAAACCCCCAGTTTTTATGTGTTTGGCAAAGTGTCTGATTTCTGGATTTCAGCATGGCTGAGAGTATCCTGAACACTCCTGACTTGAAGGATCTAGAAGAAGAAGAACTGTGGGATCTTATCGACGATAATCGCCATGCCATCTCTCTCGGCGTCCGTCCCTGTGTTCTCATCCCTTACCTGCGCCAGGCACGAGTCCTCACAAACCTGGATGAGGATGAGATTTTTACCAGTACCCGTTTCACCAACCGCTGCATGAGGACCAGTAAGACACTCTGACTTATCAGGGGAGAAATGCTTGAAATACTGAATACCAGAGCATGACAAAAGTTAATGAAGTACAGATATAATAATAATAATAATAATAAAACAGGCTTTCTAATAGGGGGGTTATTTTTCTGAAATGTGAGCAAGGTTATGGAAATATGGGTTAGATACATGTCAGCTGTATAAGATGTTACACTGATAAACTAGAAAAGAAAACTTTAGTTTTTGGAAAGACGAGTGAAAAAATCTCAACTTCAGTAGATGCCTTCAATTTTTAAGACTTGTAAAAAAAAATGTTCATATTGCTTACATTATTTTGATGAGTTCAAGTAATGTGAATGTAAAACCATAATTTGCACTTACTAATCTTTTTCTTACTTTTTTTTTTTACAGTGTAGGTCACCATTAATTAAATTTCATTATTTTCATTATTTATTCACTCTTATGTTGTTCCAAACCTGCATGCTATTATTTTTTCAGTGAAATATGAAAGTAGACATAACAAAAGTAGAATTGCTTGCCATACAATGTTATGCCAAGCCATGCCATGCCAAGCTCTAAAAAGGACAAAACACCTAAAAAAAAGTCTAGCTTACTTGCATGTACAAAGTATGATTCAAAAGCAGTGCACAGGTCCAACAAAATAACAAAGAGTTCAGCACACATTTTGGAATCCGGATATAAATAGCAGCATATGGTTTTGCAATGTCATGAGCGTGAGTAAATAATTTCCATTTTTGGGTGAACTCTTCAAGGCGTCACCTAACTGACGCCTTGGGAAGCATTTGACCATGCTTCAATATCTGACGCTTTAGGCGCCCTTTAGCATCAGTTAGATGACGCCCTAGGATCGTGTGTACCCTACCCCCACCCCAGACCTAAACCTAACCGCGTCCGCGTCAGTTAGATGACGCCGTAGGATCGCACCATGTAAGTGATGCTAAAGGCCGCCTAAAACGTCAAATATTGAAGCATGGTCAAAAGTGACGCCTTGGGGTGAGAATGCGTTGGGAATACTTGAAAGTTGAATGACAGTATTGAAAATGAAGCATTTTAATGTATCTTGCAGTATTTGAGATATGATGACTGAAATCTTAATGTTTTTCTATAGGTCATATGCTTGACATGTTACGTGTACAGGGTCGTAATGGAGCAATGGCTCTGCTCGAAAGTCTGATGATTCATTACCCAACTCTCTACACACAGATCACTGGTCGCGAGCCCAGCATTGAGCCTTCAGGCTTCAGTGGTCAGTCAGTGCACTTTTAATCTTAGTTTCTGATGATGCATTACAAGCACACACAATATGTGTTGTAGTTAAAGCTGGTATCTGTAACATTTGTGGATTTGAACCCCAGGCCTCGATCTAGACTTCTAAACTGTCTATTAAACAATGTAATACCAATGGCAAATGTGCACAACTGAATATATTTTCATGCTTGTGTTTGAGGGATGTATATATCAACTTATTTAAGGCTAATAAGTAATACCTTGCTTTTCTGCTTGCTAGGCCTGATAAATTACACTGAGCTGACAGAGTACCTAGTTAGTGCGGTGAGCAGTATGCAGGCAGAGCTACAAGTGGCACGGCAAGAGACTTTGCGGCTGCAAGCTCGATGCTGTGAGCTGGAGGGGAAACTTAAACAGGTCCAACAAAATAACGAAGAGTTCAGCCAGATGCAACAAGAGCATGGACAACTGCGCAGTCACCTAGATGGTGTGGACTTAACACAACAACTCTTTACATCAATGTGGCTAATGTTTCATTACCATTAATAGACATATATTGTCTTTTATGTACATTAAAATAAGTTGTATATCATTAACTACAGTTAAATGTAAGATGTAATTATTGTTCATGAAATTAATGAAGTTGAATGTGTTTTAAATTTTAATTATGTGCTTTGAGAAAATCAGAATGTTTCGCACAATTAAACAGTGTTTCTGTGTCAAGATTATTTAATGTCTGCTTGTCTTCTGTGTAGGTTTAAACAGGGAACTGCTCAAACTGAAGGATGAGAAATGTGATCTTTATATCAGATATACTTCAGTTCTTGAGGAGAAGTCTGCAACCATCATACGCAACAGAGACCTGCAACTGGAGGTAAGGAACCATATTTTATGTCTTTGTTTGCATGCTTTTACTTGGACTTTATTTTCATGTCAGTGAGTTATTTTCAAACACGCTTGCATGTAATAATATGAATAATACTTGCATGTAATCGGTGCACATATAGATCTCATCGTTCATATATACCTCATACTATTACTTTTTACCCCAGCCCAACAGGAAGTCGGTTATTTAGGGTTGTTCATAAAACACACGCAATGGAATTTGAAATACTCCTCCAAGAGAATTCAAACACACGGCACGAAACTCGGTCAGCATGAAGTCAAGGCATTGAGGATAAAAGTTTGTGAGGGGATTTTTGATATCTGGAATGGTTTGGCCGTGGCGAGGAAGCGAAATTATGGCGAGAAACGTGAAACAGGAAGTGTGTTATAACTTCAGCATACATTAACTGATCTTGATAAATCTTCAGCAGTGTGTTCGCTGTAAGAGGCTGATCACATGGATGTGACTATTTGAGTCAAATTTACAGCGCCACCAACTGGCAGCAGGAAGTGTGTCACTTTCAAAATGCCTTGAAATCACCCTCTTATTTTTACCCAATTTGCTTCAAACTTTATCTGTATAATGTAAATACATAGCAGATGAAGACCTGTGTATGGATTCTTGATATCTTTGATACTGTTGCCGTGGCAACGCATCAAACTTTAAAATTCTTTTTTTTTTGATAATTTTGAGACTCTTAGCGGCTTTTGGGGCCCTTAACGGGTTTGAAAACTCTTGAAACTTTGCACACAGGTCAGATCCCACAGCCATCAGGGCCGGGCTGAAGATGGTACCCGGGCGTGGCAGAGGGACTAGACAGCGCCCCCTGGAACGGGGTCAAAAAACTTGGTCCATAAATCAAACACACTTGCATGTAATAATATGAAACTCGGTACACATGTTGATCTCATCGTTTCATATATACTTCACACTCTTACTTTTTACCCCAGCCAAGAAGAAGTCGGCTATTGAGGGTTTTTTGTAAAACGCATGCAATGAAATTTGAAATACTCCTCCTAGAGCTCTGATCCAAATTCGATGAAACTCGGTCAGCATGAAGTCAAGACATTGAGGATGAAAGTTTGCGAGGGGATTTTTGATATCTCCAACGGTTTGGCCGTGGCGAGGAAACGAAATTATGGCGAGAAACCTGAAACAGGAAGTGTGTTATAACTTCAGCATACATTAACTGATCTTGATGAAACTTCAGCAGTGTGTTCGCTGTAAGAGGCCGATCACATTGATGTGACTATTGTGAGTCAAATTTATAGCGCCACCAACTGGCAGCAGGAAGTGTGTCACTTTCCAAATGCTTTAAAATCATCCTTTTATTTTTACCCGATTTGCTTCAAACTTCATCTGTATAATGTAAATACATGGCAGATGAAGACCTGTGAATGGATTCTTGATATCTCTGATACTGTTGCCGTGGCAATGCATCAAACTTTGAAATTATTTTAGGATGCTTTTGAGACTCTTAGCATGCTTGAAATTGTATGAAACTCAACAGACACATCACATTTATTAGCCAGTAGACATGTGCAAAGTTTCAGAAACGGGCATGGTGCAGGGACTAAATAGCGCCACCTTTTGACAAAAGTGGGGTTGTTCGTTTTATCTACAGTTACAAAAATCGGTATATACATTTTACTCCTCAAGCCGGACAACTTTCTAATTCATAGTCATTAGCTCGGACCAAGGGGAAGTCAGATATTTTGGTTTGAATATGGTGAGCCTCTCTCTGAGCCTACGTCCCTGTATGGCAAGCCCTATTAACATTTAAAAGCTAAGTTTGCCTATCCGGAATTAACATTGTAGATATCAACAATGTCTTTCTGACTAGTCGTAATTACATTTCGGATAGTTTAATAGATATCTGTAACGTAATTGTGACTAGTCGAAATGACAGATAGAGTATGGCAAGCCGTTTTAACATTTAATCATTTAATCATGAAAGGGCCAGAGCCTGCGGCACCGCCACCCCGGTGCCTTTACGTAACTAAAGGAACCGGGGTTGCGGTGCCACCGACTTGGGCCCGCCATCGCTGCTTGCAGCTATATTATTAGTTTAGTTTAGTGTTGTTTGGTTCAAATTTATTAAAATGGTTACTGGGAAATGGATTTTAAGCTGTTGTTTACAAGAACTCTTGAACCCTTTTGCTTTGCATTTTTTTCTGCATTAAAGAAGTGCCCCAATTATGCTATTTTAAAGGTTCCTAATTTTGTTTTGGAGTTCTCCTTCAACAGGTTTACGTGCATCAAAGGTCAAAAACATTTTTATTTTCTCTTAACATTTCACATCACAACATTTTTCAATGATTCACAAATGACTCATCGGATGATTTGTTCTCTCTATATCCGTCCTTTTCGTGAGCCTACTCTAATATGATTGGCCAGATAGCACAGTCTGTTGTGATTGGTCTACCACTTACAGCACTTTTGTGAAACGAAATGCCTAATACCATAACTGAAGTTCAGCTACAGAGGCTTCCTAAAGCTCAGCAATTGTACACACTGTAAAGACAGTAACGATGGTGCAAATTTTACAATATTAATCCGAGCATGCACCTGATGATGAAACATTTGAAAAATTAGTTATTTAACCCGAACCTCCATCACAAGGATGACTTTAGCAGGACGTTTCTCAGTGATGCGCAACTCAGGTTGATATACATTGTGAGATGTATGTCCATCAACAAGCTGATGTGTAGATTTCTAATTTATTGCAGTGAACATGCGGGAAATATATTATTACAGAATGGAAGAAGGGGTTTTGGGCTCAGTTTAGCTCCTCCTAAATGGCACAAGGCAGACCCAGCTCAAAGGAGGAAGCTGGTAGTCAACGAGGTGCGAAAGCAGGAGTAGAGGATGAGGTGTATAAAGGCCATTTCCCAGGCCAAGCAGGGAGAGTGGATGAGATGGGAGAGTGTGGAGCAACGCAAGAAGGGCTGGCAAGACCTTTGGTCAATGGAAGAGAGTAGGATCATTTTCCTTATCAGGTCAACATATGATGTTCTCCCATCACCGCAGAACCTAAACCTCTGGGTAGGAGAAGATCCCTCTTGTCCTTTGTGTTCATCACCTGCCACATTAAGGCACATTTTGACAGGATGTAAGGTGGCTCTTAGCCAAGGTCGGTTTGTTCTTGCAAAACATTACACACAGCAAACTAATGTGAATGATTGATATAACATTAAAGTTGTAAAAGTGTGTAAAACAAATCTTGCTCAATCCTTCACCTTTATTCAAAAGTGTAAGAACGACAGACAATCTGTATTAATAGACGCAGTTTTAGGTAATAGTGGCCCACAGCTGATTATCAGAAGTATTAAATTAAGACAACGTAAGTAATAACGTGAGTAAGCCAGTTAGCTTTAAACTTACACAATATAAAACACAAAACTATGTATTTTGAACACCTAGAAAAAAGTATATACAACAATAATTAGTCATACTTATTTGGTGCAAGCTGGTCCAAATAAACTGACTGACTGACACATCTTTCCAGAGCAAGTGCTTTGTGCTCGCTTTAAACTCCGAGATTTGAGAAGCTGTAATCAGTAAAATGACGTGTTTGAGGGCGGGTCAAGTTGTTTGCGGGCGGACAATGTAGAACATAGCATTATGTAAATGTATTATCTAGTGATATGTGACTGTAACACATTGGGATACAGACGACTCGTTTAGGAGGTTCAGAGTCGAGTGTTCCTTTTGGGAGAGTGGCATAATGAAATCTCTTCTCCTCACCTCTTCTCCAGATTTACCAGCTGCAGTGTGAGTTGAGGAAGGCACAGAAAGAGACAGATTTTCAGAGCCGGCGTTCCTTAAAGAATCCCAGTGACACACAAAAGCTCAAAGATGAACTCAAAGCTGTACGCACAAAGCTACTGGAGACTGAGATATTCTCTCCGGTGAATAAGAGACTCATTTATTTTAGTAATATAACAAGTCAACAAATTTTGGAACTCAATCTTATCTTACTGACCTTAACAGTAAATTAATCTCTTTCTCTTTCAATCAGGTACAGCAGGATATCCTTGAGAATGATTTAAAGGAGACAGAGACGAGGCGTTCAGAACTTGCTGAGGATGTCACTAAACTAAGTGAGGAGAATGAACGACTCCAGCAAGAGAAAGAGGAGGTAAAATGAGTCGGTTACCTAACGTAACCTCGGTTCTCTTTAGATGAGGGAACGAGTACTGCGTAAGCTTGCTTACGCTACGGGAAAGATTAATCTTTTCTGAGATATTGAAGCCAAAAAATTATGCTTAATTTTTGTATCCATTGTCAACGCAGTGCAGCAGGTGCAGACCATGAGCGGGCTAGCTAGCGAGCTCATTGGTTGCTCTGCGGCAAACTGCTGCAGCTTATAGACAAACTCGCATTAACCCGCGTCTGGATGACCAGCTCGTTTTTACCCAGCGACTGGCTGTGCAGGGGTTCAGCGAACGCTGCAACGGCCGCCACATAAACTTTGAGTGTGGATGGGGACCTGCCCTTATCCAGCAGCTCTTGTAAAAACACGAGCAGTGACGGCACCCCGCATGTCCGTGGGTCCAGATCTTTGTTGGTGCACTATTTAGAAAACACAGACCATTTGGACTCGCAGAGCCTTCTCGTGGAAGGAGCTGTAGCGTATATGATAGTGTTTATTACTCCTTCTGGCAAAGCGACGGGTAGTCGTTGATCACCCACGCATGCAGCGCCCAGCGCTGTGGGTGGGGATGACAGATTGTGCCGCGAGCTTGAGAGAGGAGATCTGCTCTGACTGGAATGGGCCACAGGCCTATCTGTGACAGCTGCGTAAGCTCCGGGAACCAAGTCTGATTCTCCCAGCGCGGGGCTATGAGGAGCACCGAGTGGCGTGCTTCCCTGATCCTCTGTATTACCTGTGGCAATAGCAAGACGGGAGGAAAGGCGTAAAGCGGGCGGCTGGGACAGTCCTGGGCCAGCGCATCCTTGCTTTTTGAGAAGAACACTGGGCAGTGAGAGTTTTCCTCTGACTCAAAGAGGTCTATCTCTGCTCTGCCGAATATGCACCATAACTTCTAGACTGTTTGAGCGTGCAGGGACCATTCCCCTGGGGGAATGTTGTCTCTGGACAGTCTGTCTGGGCCGTCGTTCAGGTGGCCGGGCACATGCGTCGCTCTCAGCGAGCGCAGATGGCACTGGGACCAACTCAGTATGCGTTCTGCCAGATAGAAGAGGTTCCTGCGAGCTGAACAGTGTGTGTGAGCGCGCTTACTGTGCTTATGGATGACGGCTCGCAAACAGCCAGCGCTGGCTGTTCTGTGAGTGACTTCCCGATTGAAGTGAATGGGAAGAGAGTCACATCTGAGTGATGCGCGAGCATAGTCACGGGCATGGGACTTACATGCAGAGAGGTGTTTACTGGCCGTGTAACAGAGCGGGCAGAGAGGGGCCAGGGACCTTTGACGGTGGTCCGGCCGCGGCGGGACCTAGCCGTCATTTTCCTAGCATGGCTAGGAGGACTTCGGTTGTTCGGGTTTCAGCGTGATCTTAGGCCGAGGCCCCCGGGGGGGCGTCGGTCTGTGGCGGCTGTCTGAGCGTGATCTAGGGCGGCTGCCCTGATGATGCTGCGAAGTCTGGCTGTGCTGAGCTGGGCGCTGTGAGGGGGCTCGTGCAGGAGACTAGTCACGTGAGTGGCCTGCAGAGGAGCTAGCGCGATAAGGCAGGAAGAGGTTCATGGCTTGGGTGGCTTTCTGGACTTCGGAGAAAGTGACAATGCCACTTACAGCAGAGCCGAAGCGACCGGAAGGAGAGAGCGGCGCGTTGAGAAACATGACGCGTTCAGATTCTCCCACTTCGGCTAGCGTCAGCCACAGATGTCTCTGTCACAGTTAAGGCTGCCATGCACTTCCCCAGGGCTTGAGCTGTAGATTTCGTGGCGCAAAGAGAGAGATTTGTTGCGCTCCTTAAATCCGTAACAGCTGTGCATGAGCCGCAGGTGGTGCGAGGCATCTTTAAAAAGACGCTCGCTTTGCTTTTTTTGTGAAGTTCACAGAGAAACTAATGCTCTAAAAAGGATACGTTGCCAGATGGTGTAGCTCGCAGGATGGCTGAAGGTGGCGAAGACGGCCGGCTTCTTCAGGCGCTGTCCAGGCTTGCTAGATGCCCCTCGACGGCGACGTGGCTTGATCAGAGATGCGAAGAGCTTCGCTGAAGAGATGAAAATCAGGGAAGCAGCCTGTGAACCGCACTTTTATACACACTGGCCGCGCCCCTTCTGGTGGGTTATGATGCAATGACTTCACGAGCGCCTTTCAATGGACGCGGGTTCATGTGAGTTTGTATACAGGCTGCAGCAGTTTGCCGCAGAGCAACCAATGAGCTCGCTAGCTAGCCTGCTCATGGTCTTCACCTGCTGCACTGCGTTGACAATGGATACAAAAATTAAGGATAATTTTTTTCTTCAATATCTCAGAAAAGATTAATCTTTCCCGTAGCGTAACCTAGCTTATGCAATATGAGAGAACCTCTCGTAAAAGAACTGGCCTTTCTTTTAACCTTAATGTTGTTTGTTTGTGTTGTCTTTCAAAATGTTGTACTTTGTATACAATTTGAGTTGTAGCCCACTTTTTTCTTATTTAAGAGGAATTCATATTTTCATCGTTTGTATCGGTGTCTCTCTTTCTTTACCTCTTTACTTCTGTTTACATTTTTTCTTTTAAATGTCCGTATTTTTTGTAACCTTCACCATGCTTCCCTCTTTTTTAGCTCATAGAAGAGAAGGACTATTTAGCCCTGGAAGTGGAGAAGTTGACTGTGGACTGTGAGATGTACAAGCACAGGAGCACACTGTTCCAGAGTCAGCTAGAAGAGGTGCAGGCAGAGAGAGATAAGGTCAGTATCATCTGTGCTCATAATTAACAAATGTCATACAACATCATTAAGTCTTAAATAAGTGTTTAGATTCAACAATGAGATCAGTTTACACGGAAACTATCTAACAGTACAATAAACTGTCAGTTTAGTGTTGGTGTTTCAAACAAATTAACACAGTATACTGGACCAACATTGTTACAGTATGTAAGTGAGATAACATTTTTAGATCTAGAAACCTACATGCATTATGCAGTAAATGCATATACGTTTGGTTCAAAGTCTGGGACCAATTTGAAAATCTGGGATGCACAATTTAAATCTTGAAAAACAAACTTTTTCTGTATTTTTAAAAATTGAAAACAGCAAAGAAAAAAAATCAGATTGTGCTCTATATCATGTTCATAAATCAAATAAGATAGTTTGTGACACTGTCCTTTGGGTAATTCTGAAATCATCCTGGAAAACATAAATCATTATCTTTTGCACAGACTACTGGAAAATGAAAAACTTATGACAGATACTGCTCATTGATTTTTTTCAGGCATATTTGTCCCGTGATGAGGCCCAGGTTCAGATCGCACGGAGTCTTGCAGAGAAGGACATGCTCAGAGGCCAACTAATGGAGCTACAGGAGAAGGTTTTCACCATGAAAGCCTGTAGCAGGGAAAGAGAAAGAAGAGAAAAATCCAGGGTAAAATTGTCAATTTTCTATCATGAATTCAATACCCAACATAGCTTACCACAATGGCTTTGCAAATTCAGAGTAATTTTCAATATTGTGCAGTTAATCTGTAACCTAATAGAACCACATAGGCCTTTATTCTTAAAGGGTCACTTCACCCATTTGCATTAAGCTTTGTATCTTTAGAAACCTAGTCATATTTTCGAATGGACATGGTTTATTCCCTTATGTTCCCCTGAGATGGGAGAAATAAGGATTTAAGTGTTTTACTTCCTGCTTATCGTGACGTACAAATCGTCATTTTGCGTCACGATAAGCAGGAAGTCATATTTCATTAAAATCTTTAGAACTACAAATATTAGCTCAATATTATTCCAGGGTGTTGGACCCACTCACCCTACAGACCTATTACATATCAGTGGGTGGGACTTCACTTGCAGAAACTGAAATCAATATCCGCCATCTTGTTTGGAAGCTAAGCTAACAAGCGCTGTGGAGATAGTAAGTTATGACAATGACGGAAGAAACTAAACATGATATGGAAGAAGAGGATTTTGAAATTCTGCTGCTCGAATCCGATGTTCGTGGCTATCTTTACGAGTCGCAGTATAGTTTAGAGCAGCTGAGGCTCATGGAGTAGCACGGCTGGAGAGACGGCTGCCTGTCGGTCGAGGACCCCGGACTGACTCTGGCGCTGGGCGGATTGCTGTTGCCTGTACTCTCGCTGCGTGCTACGGCCTACGGACACAGAGTCTGTCTGCTGCAGAGAATTTCAACGATGGCAATTTCTCCTGGAGGAAATCTCTGAATCAGACGAGCACACGGACGTTTTTGTTGTGATAGTTTCGCCTGACTAAACATCCAGGTAACATGCAGTAATTCACCATATAGAAAGAAATACAAACGAGGAGTAATTCACTAATGAGTTTGCCAATGTAACGTTAACGGGGTTTGTTGTTGTGGGAAGAAGCAGGCAGAACCGGCGAACATTTAAACATTTTAATAGTAAAACAAATACAAAATGAAAGTATAAGCCAGCAGCCCCTCATTGACGACTGCTGTAATGTTACACACAACAGAAACAAAACACAACATAAAATCAGGCCTGTTTCTCTCTCGATCTGCTGTCGTCGCTCCCCGTTTTATGCTTTCGCTTCTCCGTGAGGTCCCGTGAGGTTCGCACCTCACAGGTGTCTTTCATTATTAGTCTCTGTTATCACTCACGCCACCAGCCTCGCGCAAAGCGCCGTCCTCTTACATCCCTCGCCCCTTGATCGTCCTGCTCGCCACAGCCAACTAGACATGTGAAATGAATTTCAAACTCCAGTGACAGCTAATGTTAGCCTTGTAAGGGGGCGGCAGTGGCTCAGTGGTTCATGTGGGTTGTCTACAAACCGAAAGGTTGGTGGTTCAATCCTTGGTTCCACCTGACCAAGTGTCGAGGTGTCCATGAGCAAGACACCTAACCCCAGCTGCTCCCGACAAGCTGGATGGTGCCTTGTATGGCTGACACCGCCGTCTGTGTATGAATGAGTGTGTGAATGGGTGAATGTGAGGCAATATGTAAAGCGCTTTGGTGGCCATTAGGTCTATGAAAGCACTATATAAATGCAGTCCATTTACCATTGTAGATGGAAGAGTGAATTCTCTGTTCCGGATTAGTGGGTCCACGGATCCACAAGCCACGGATTGTGGGACATGTAGTCTATTAATAATTAGGCATCTTTTCTCAGTCAAGAGGGCACCAAATTAAAAAAATTCTTTACATTTTGACTACATATATGATCCACTTTCAATAAAGATTAATATTGCAATGGGTGAAATGCTCCTTTAATGTTATGTCTCTTGAATGAGTAGGACAGGAAGATCAGTTGTGAGAGCAGCGAGGACCCTCCTTCCAGCCCCACACACAGAAAACGGCTGTGTCGCTTGAAAGCAATCCTTCCTGAGTCTTTCAGCTCATTTGAGGTACATTTATACTGTTAATGTGTACTTATATAAGCCTAGTGTGACTTATTGCTTACTTATACTTAAGCTGTGCCCCAATTTGTGTACTTATGCACCATTCTACCCAGCAAACACAGAATGTTCCCCGAATGGTCCCATGAGTTTATTTTTTTGGGAACCAAACAAGAACGTTATAGGAACGTTCCATGTAAGTTATTTTTAAGTTACATTTTTATAACGTAAGGAGAATGTTCAGGGAACGTTCCCTTAACCTTAAGGGAAAGTTCTAGGAACGTTCTGGGAACCAAAAACTAACGTTCCCAGAACCTAAATTTGTTTGCTGGGTATGCAGTCTTGTCGTATAAATAGTGTGAGTAGTGTGTTCATACTGAAATTTCCAAATAGAAAAGTATCCTTTAAATACTCTGATACACTTAACTGAAAAAAACGAAATGTAAAATTTTGAACACTTTATGCACTTAACTGTTGCAGCTTTAATTACGTAGCTGAGGGGCTATCAGACTCCGATGTTGAATGACACATTTTTTTATAAAATTCATACACTACACGGATGTAGTAGTGTATAAATAAATGCATAGTGTATTAGTGCATAGTGTAGTGCGTCATTTGGGACGCAACATTAGGCTTAGCCTCAGATAGTCGACAGAGAATAATGTGAATATACTGACTCTGCGTAGTAATAATAATGTGGATATTATGCATTCTAAATAGTATGTGAGAAAAGTTTGTCCCAAACCACAGCATTTTGAAAAGAGTATGCAAAAAGTCCCCAGAGAGTCTGCACTTTCCAGTAGATTTTCGAAGAATGGATCCATGCACACTAAAGGCTGATATTGCCCACAGATCATTGGAGGATTTGTTTCAAAACTACAAAAACTAATAAAAAGTAAAAAACTAACTAAAAACATGAAGGATGTTGGTGAAATTGACGGTTAAGAAAGGGCCTTGATTCTTAATATTATGTCACAGAGTTACTAAAAATCCAACATCTAACTTTAATTAAATGAAATGGGGAGTGTTTATAAGGATTTTAACTGTGACAGTATGATTGACAGGCCAGTTTTCAGTGACAGAATGCATGTTACTAAGCAACAGTGCACAATATTATGACGTGGTATGACCCAAAACTTTCCTACTCTTCTTTGTTTTTTTTGTTTTGTTTTTTTTTGTTTTTTTGAGAATGAAATTATCATTGAATGTGTCGAAGTTTGCAAGGTTAGTGACGTAGTGATTATTTGCTGGAGTTTCAATTCTCCACCCTAGTGTGATATATATATATACATGTACTGGATCTCAGATAACCCCACCCCTAAACAGCACAAATTAACAAAACAAAACTACTGACAAATGAAAGTTCCCTTTCGTAGACACTCCGAGTTACGTCAGATGATGGAGAATGGGGGTTTCGCCTAGAAAGCCAATTCTCTTCGAGTATTAAAAAACGAGCCAATGGCAAGGAAATGCCATGGGTCTGCAGAATTTGCATAGCGTATCCGCACCTCACCTCGTGAGTATAAAAGGAGGAAGCGGACACAACCGCAGTATGTTTTCGCTTCGGAGCCAAGAGAACTTCTTCACGCCACAAGCCACACAATCTGAGTTTACTACTGTGACTTACCTCTTCGAGACGAGTAAACTCTCTGGTGTTGGTGTGACGGCGGTATCCATAACGGTCGAGAGTTAATGAGCTCATTAGAGTGAGAGTCCCCTTCCACAACCCAAACTATTTTCTCCACATGAGATAATACTTCGACTGGTGGCCAAGGTGATCTAAGGCGTCAGGTCTGGAACTAAACCGATGAAAATTCCTCGGTCCACACCCCGTCTTTCACATTGCAACCCACGTGGTCCAGAGTGAGTTTGGGCCCGCGTTTTCATTCGGTCCCCCAGCTGATGAAATCATGTTTATCGCTACATCACAAGGTGAGCTGGAGTCCTCTGGAGATGGCTCGTCTGTGCTGCTGTCCTCGGATGTGCTAGCATAGCGAGTTTGATTCAGAGTTCACAGCTATGCTTTCCCGGGCTGCCACGAGTATCGGGTTTGTGTGGAAAATTCTGACATGTCCCGAGTTTTTGGGGGTGGTGATCCCAAATCCTTTCTACCCGGATGTGCATGAAGAGGCCGTGAGATTGTGGAAGTCTCCTTTGACTTTTCACGACCGCTCAGCGGCCTCTACCGCCTTCTCTGCCTTCGTAGAGGCTGCAGTCTTGGGTACACTGGGGTTCCCCCCTGTGGAGTGTTCTGTGGCAACACTTATGTGTCCCCACAGCGCCTCCACCTGGCGTGGCAACCCTAAGCACCCCTCCAATGCCTGTAGGTTCTTGTCTACTCCGGTGGCGGGGACCTGTAGAGCTGCGGGGCAGGCTGCCAACTCACTGTGTGTTATTGCCATCCTTCTGGGTATTCAGTGACATGGACGAGGTTAGGGCTGATTCAGGGCTCATCCTTGAGCTGTCTGCCATCACCGAACTTGCTCTACGAGCGACGAAGGTGACCGCATGCTCCCTGAGTCAGGTGATGTCCACATGCGTGGTCAGACATTTCTGGCTTAACCTGGTTGATGTGCGCAAGGCTGAGAGAACCAGTTCCTCAACTTCCCAATATCCCAGGCTGGCCTCTTCGGCGGCGTGGTCGAGAACTCTGCCCAACAGTTCTCTGCCGCCCCGAAGTAGACTGTGGCTTTTTTGTCTGACCCTGCGGCTTTCTGCTGCCAAAACCAGCCGCAGGCTCAGACGCCTCAGTCCGCTTGCCACCGAAAGCGCCCTCCTGCGACTTCCGCCCCCTCCCACCCGGCCCCAGCAGCACTGGGCCGGGCCATGGAGGTGGTCGCAGGAAGGCGCCCCTGCCCGTACCAGCCCTGCTGCGGCGCTCCCATCACGGGCAGCTCAGATATGGCTTGCAGTTCTTTTAGGGAGTGGTCGCAGGCCCACTCCTTCCCCCGGTGGAGGGCTGGGGGAGAATCTTTCTTTCAAAGAGCTGCATTCCATCTCTGAGCACACAGAGCAGGATGGCAGTGCGCAATGCCCCAGCGCCTCGCCACTCTCATCCTCCTCTGTCTCTGAGGGTGCGGATGGCAGTGCGTGTCGTCTCCGGACCACGCCACTCTCATCACCCTCTATCGCCAGACCCCCGGCAGAGCAGGCCCCGTGGAACGCTGGTCCTTCCCTGGTCTCCTCTGTTGGGGCGCGGAGCCTGATTGTGCACTCACGTGGGTCATCCCTGTGGCTCAGATGATTCCACTGGATCAGTTTTTGGGGGCTTGGTTGAGCTCCCCAATCTGTCCCGTTGGGTCACCCGAACTATCAGGCTCGGCTATGCGATTCAGGTCGCACGGTCTCCTCCCCGTTTCCGGGGAGTCCGCTTTACGATGGTCGGTGGCAATCATGGTGGCGATCATGAGAGCGAAGGTTGTCACCCTGCTGGCGAAGGGTGCTATAGAGACTGTCCCTTGAGCCGAGATGAGGTCAGGGTTCTACAGCCCCTACTTAATTGTCCTCAAAAAGACCGATGGGTTACGACCGATCCTCGATCTGCGTGTTTTGAACCGCACTCTTCACCGACTGCCGTTCAAGATGCTCACGGCCAAACGCATTTTCGAATGTGTTTGGCCCCAGGATTGGTTTGCAGCGATAGACCTGAAGGACGTGTACTTTCATGTCTCCATTTCACCTTGACACAGACCGTTTCTTCGGTTTGCTTTCGAGGGACAGGCATATCAGTACGCGGTTCTCCCATTCTGGTTGGCTCTGTCTCCTTGCATCTTTACGAAGGTCATCGAGGCAGCCCTTGCTCCCCTTTGCGATCACGGGGTTCGCGTCCTGAACTATCTCGACGATTGGCTGATCTTAGCACACTCTCGAGATCAGGGCTGCGAACACAGAGACCTTGTGCTCCGGCATCTAGCCCGTCTGGGCCTTTGGGTCAACTGGGAGAAGAGCAAACTTTGCCCTGTGCAGAGGATCTCTTTTCTCAGTATGGAGATAGACTCGGTCGCCATGTCCGCGCAGCTTACGAGCGAGCGCACACACTCACTGCTGACTTGTCTTCGACAGTTTGAGGGCAAGAGTGCGGTCCCACTGAAACTTTTTCAGAGGCTCCTGGGGCATATGGCATCCGCAGCCGCGGCAACGCCGCTCGGATTGCTTCATATGAGTCCGCTTCAGCTGTGGCTTCGCGATCGAGTCCCGAGGTGGGCATGGCATCGCGGCATGCTCAGAGTTCCAGTAACTCCAATCTGTCATCAGACCTTCTTCCCGTGGACGAACCTCAGCTTCTTACGGGCCGGAGTCCCCCTGCAGCGAGTTTCCAGGCATATTGTTGTCTCCACAGATGCCTCTGCCACGTGTTGGGGTGCCATGTGCAATGGACATGCAGCCGTGGGTTCCTGGACAGGACCCCAACGCCTTCTGCATATCAATTGCCTCGAGTTGCTGGCAGTACGCCTTGCCCTGCACCGCTTTCGAGCATTGCTCAGAGGTCAATACGTACTACTCCGTTCAGGCAATACCGCGACAGAAGCGTACATCAACCATCAGGGTGGTCTACGCTCACGTCGGATGCCGCAACTCGCACGCCACCTCCAATTATGGAGTCAGAAGCACCTGGGGTCCCTTCGTGCTATTAACATTCCAGAAGAGCGGAACCTGGCAGCCGACGAGCTGTTACGGATCCGTCCAGTCTCTGGTGAATGGCGACTCCATCCCCAGTCAGTCCAGCTGATGTGGGACCAGTTCGGGGAGGCACAGATAGATCTGTTCGCTTCCCACGACTCATCTCATTGCGTTGGTGCACAGCTGGCTGCGGGGCCTACGCAAGTATGTGTTTCCCCCAGTGAGCCTTCTCACACGGACTCTGTGCAAGATCAAGGATAACGAGGAGCAGGTCTTGTTGGTCGCTCCATATTGGCCCACCAAGACCTGGTTTTCCGAACTGATAATCCTCGCGACAGCACCTCCTTGGCTAATTTCTCTGAGGAAGGACCTCCTTTCTCAGAGACGGGGCAACCTATGGCACCCTCGTCCCGATCTTTGGAGACTCCACGTGTGGCTCCTGGACGGGACGAGGCAGGTTTGAGTACCCTGCCACCTGCGGTGGTGGCTACCATCACTTCCGCTAGACACGTCTATGCATTGAAGTGGAACCTCTTCATCAACTGGTGCTCTTCTCGCCGAGAAGACTCCAGGAGATGGTCGATCAGTGTTGTGCTTTCCTTCCTGCAAGATGGGTTGGAGAAAAGGCTATCTCCCTCCACCCTGAAGGTGTATGTGGCCGCTATTGCCGCATATCACGAAGCAGTTGATGGTATGTCCCTGGGAAAGCACGACCTGATCATCAGGTTCCTGAGGGGAGCGAGGAGACTGAATTCTCCTCGCCCTCCTCTCGTACCCTCTTGGGACCTCTCAGTGGTCTTAAGCGCCCTGCAGAGACCTCCCTTCGAGCCTCTGCAATCAGTTGAGATTAAATTCCTGTCAATGAAGACAATGCTCCTGGTTGCACTGGCCTCCATCAAGAGGGTGGGGGACCTGCATGCATTCTCCGTTGACGAAGCGTGCCTGGAATTCGGGCCGGCCTACTCTCACGTGATCCTGAGACCCCGGCCTGGATATGTGCCCAAGGTTCCTACCACTCCCTTCCGGGACCAGGTGGTGAACCTGCAAGCGCTGCCCCTGGTGGAGGCAGATCCAGCTTTGGCACTGCTCTGTCCAGTACGTGCCCTCCGGGCTTACGTAGACAGAACACGGTGTTTCAGGACCTCAGACCAGCTCTTTGTCTGTTATGGTGGGAGCCAGAAGGGAAGGGCTCTATCAAAGCAGAGGTTGTCTCACTGGATAGTGGACACCATCGCTTTGGCTTACCAGCAGCAAGGTCGACCGTGCCCCCCTTGGTGTGACAGCACACTCTAGGGCTGCACGATTTGGGCCAAAATGATAATCACGATTATTTTGATCAATATTGAGATCACGATTATTTATCACAATTATTTGTTAATTTTAACCAGAACAAATGTTATTGTCACATAGGCTAATTATAACTGCTTTCACATTCATATTGTGCTACATTCCTGCTAATGTACAACTGTGCATTAAAATAAAACAGGTGCTCTCATTCACCAAAATTCAGTGCATCTCTTTAAAGAATAAATAAAAATAAAGAAAACAATAAATAAAATGTAGCAGAACTTCAACAGGGCACTATTTTACATTTTACATTGTGTAAATATATTTTAGGAAGCCCGAAGCAAACTATAAACTTGCATTGTACCTGCCATAATGGATGTGAATAAAACGCGCAAAATATACAATCATTAAAAACAAAAAACAAATATTCCATAACACAATGTAACCAAATGAGAACATGTCAAGGCAGAACTCTGCATGGAAGTTCCATTAATGGATGAGTCATTGTTATTTGACACTTAAAAAATGGAAAATGTTGTGGTACAGTGTTAGTGATTTTGTGAAGTCTTACTGCATACATTTAATCTATTTAATCCTCCATATGAAAGTTTATGTGGTTGAATTATTTCTATTTATTAAACAATAGTTCAAAACAAGATGTTTGTATTAGCCTACTGATTATTGGAGTCCATTAATCGAATTTTCATGCCTCTTATATAGTAATTATATATTACTATGTAGTATGTATACCGATTTACTAATGCAATTTACTAATGCTCACACACTCGGTCTCTCACGCGCACTTTCACTCAGTCTACAACCGGTATCTCTCGTGTGCTGTCGCTCCGTGTCGCTCGCACACAGACACCATCGTCTTTTCAGCGCGCTTGGACACTCGTCTCTCTTGATCACTGTAGCTCGCGCGCAGATACACTTCTCTCTTGCGCACTGGAGCTCGTGGAGGCACGTGATCAGACAGTTGTTTACGGAGCGCTAGATTGGCTTTGCAAAAAAAAAAAACCTTTGATAAATGGAGCGTTCTGTGAATGGATGACGCTGTGAATGATGATTTTAAATATCGCTCGATCGAATGTGAGCGAATGTGATCGTGGGAAGCCAAAATCGTGATCGTGATTAAAATTCGATTAATCGTGCAGCCCTAGCCCACTCCACCCGGAGTGTGGCTTCCTCTTGGGCTCTAGCGCATAGTGCCTCGCTAGCAGACATCTGCAGAGCTGCAGGCTGGGCGACACCCAACACATTCTATAATCAGATTCTATAATCTCCGAGTGGAGCATGTGTCCTCTCTTGTACTCGCTCACCCGGCCAGTACTGGACCCGCTCAGGTGTCTTCGCTTGCTCGCCATTCCACTTCACGGACTGGATAAGTGTGATTATTCCTCAGCTGAGCCTTCTATTGAAGCCCTGAGTCCTCCAGCACTGTTGATGCTGGCGCCAGTGTCTGTTGCCTGGACGTCGGCTAAGTGCCTCCGTGTGCATGGTTCCTGCTAGCAACCTCCACATGTGCATTGTCCACTGTAAGCCTCTCTGAGCATGTGTCTTCCCTCGGCAAGCCACCTTGCCTCCCTTGAAGTTAAATTTCTAGACACCCTTCGGTTGGTGACTCCAGTGTTCCTCCATATGAAGCCCCTTGGGCCATATGTGTATTCTTAAGTCCTCCCTACGGGTAGGCATACTGCGGCATATCTCCTCTGAGATATGCTCCCCAGTATACCTTGGTATTCCTGTGCTAAGTAGGACTCCTCGTCCGTGCTATGTTCACGACAGGGGATCAGACTTTCGCAGGGCACTGGAAGACAGCTGTGAAGGTGGCGTGATTACACGAGGGACCCCCATTCTCCGTCATCCGACGTAACGTACGTAACCGAGACGTTTTCTTAATTACAGATACTGCTTTTCATGCATATTTGTCCTATTCGTTTCCCCCCCATATTTGTGCTGTAACATGCAGTTACAGCACTTTTTATGTGATACATATAGGCATTACTGGAATGCAGTTTGACAGTGTTAGTGCAAACAAGAGCACAAAGTACATACATTAAAGAACAATAACTATTATGAAAACCATAGATAAAGCTTTAAAAATGGTCCACACTTGATCAAGCAATTTTTTTCCAGCCTATGATTGGCCACCCAAAATCCATCCAACTCTAAAAAAAGCTTTATAAACAGAACTTCATTGTCAATTGGTGTGGATGCTAATATGGTTATTATATTTATCGTTCTTGGTGTGAATGTGTCTTTACACTTATACTGAATTTTTGTCAACTGTATGCTGTGTTAGGAACAATAACTTTGTTTGCATTTGTTAATGTGAGAATGGGCTCTAAAGAAAGAAAAAGCATTATTCTGCCTGATGGCATTAGGTAGAATATATAGAGCTTTTTTTAATTTTTTTTTTTTATAGATTTTTAATATATGTTTTGTGTGTACAGCTCAATGATGAAGTAATCAACAGTATCAATTCCAATCAAGTGGAGCCCCCCTGTTCTGAATCTCTTCGTAGACGAGAGTTACACTTTCCAGATGTGACACACTCCAGAAGTGACATGGAAGACATTTACAGGTGAGCAGCTCATCTGGTCCGTAGCAGTAAACTGGAAAATTGTGAAAATAACAGTTTGGTATTGATTTTTTCAGCTTGGCTACAGTGAGTTGTTACTTTTAATTGACATTTTATAATGGTTGCCCACTGAGAATTATTATATTATTGTAATAAATTAACTTGATAATTGTATAATCTAATTTACATGATGAGAAGGACCACCTTTAAACCCATTTTCATACTTTCATTAGTTCAGTTTATTTATAAAGCACTTTTAAAACAACATAATGTTGACCAAAATGCTGAGAGTCAACAAAGACCAGAGTGAGTCTCCACAGTCTCCACAGACCAGAATCCAAACCAATGCTTTAAAATGTTCAAATCATCTGGATTTAGTCATATTTACTGAATAGAAAGTGCTGTTTGAATGTCACTGCATGTGGAATTTGCATCAAGCCTTGTAGACGCTTTCAAACCTGTTAAAGCAGCACTATGCAACTTTTTCAACCTTTATAATATTTGTCCAAAACCCTTGAGATGGTACATCCACTTACAAAAGTTGAATAACAGGTCTACCATAGCCTGACAGTGTCTGTATCGCTTTTACTGGCACTCTGTAACTTCGAGGTGCGGGTAGGAACCCGAGCACAAAAATAACTACAAAATTCCACTGCTTTACGGCATACGTCACTTCCCCCACTTCCTCAAATTTCGACGCGAGAGCCCGAAGAGCGTTTTTTCCCCCTCTGTATGTTGCAAGCAGCAAGTAAAACCAAGAAGCCAAAGGTTTTGTCGGAGGACAGTAGAAAGAGAAAAAGGGAGAGTGGCTAAATAAAAGGCTGGACGAGGATCAATATTGGTGCAGCTTTAGCTCGCTGGCGTGAGCCAAAGGAGGAGGAGGGAAGAGGGGTTTCCGACTGATCCAAGAGTTCCTCGCTCCTAAAGGTCATTTTTGGGGGTACGCCAAAATGAACGAAAAAACGTAACTAAGTCCTCCGACTCCAGTCCGGTGCATCAATCTTCTCCCGCCTAGCAAATGTGAACTGCGTCAGAAACAGAGCGCGCGCGCTGTGCGTGATCAGTTTACTGTTGGTAATGTGTTGTGTAGCTTCGCACCGCGCTGCATCCAATGTATACTGCATTGCTTTCTTTTGAGGGCGCTTAAGACACTCAAGCATCCCCGTAGAGCCGGGGCGGGCAGCTTGCACCAGCTCGAGACGTGAAAGTATACTGATTACTGAGTTTGGTAGGGGCTACATTCTTGCAAGTAAATAATACATGATTAGACGGACAAAATAATCGGTTAGGATAACTATCCTATGTCTGCAGGCTTATAAGTCATGTTTGTTATTTATTTTTCTGGTGAAAGTGTCTTGCCTATAGCCTAGAAAGTGTCTAGGCTATAATGCAAATCGATTTTTTTAAATTTGCAGATTCATTGCAGCTTGATATTTTAAAACTAACGATATGGCTATTATCTACCACACAAACATTGAATTAGCATATCCATTATGTAAAACAGAAGCCACTAGCCAATAGGTTAACGTTACTATAAAGACGCTGGATTGTAAACGTGAGCTACGCAATCTTTTGAAGTTGAAAAAATTAAAGCCCATGACAGTATATTCATAAGACATGCTGAAATAAATGCCAATGTACCTGGGATGAAGACATTTCACACGCAAGACTGGAGTCTGCCCAAGATGTGAGAACTTCCTTCTGCAGAATTCGGTACCGCTTGTCAACAAATGCACGCGTATATTCCCCAGTGTAACCAAGACAGATTTTACGACAGTAGTAGAAGACAATACTGTTTCCCAACTGTAGGGGGACCCTGAGAGTAAAATTTCTAAAATGTCATAATGCTGCTTTAATATGGTCACCAAAATTAATAGGTAATGTTTACACCCTGTTTTTTGCGTGGAGTGGGAAACAGGACTTAGGGCACTTTTCTTTCTTTTTATTGTCTGTGTGTCATCTACAGGGTTATTAAACCATTAATTAGTGTTTCCTGTTTCCTTGTCTCTAAAATCTTAACATTACATTGTATGTGCCCATGACTCAGACACACTATAATAAAACTAACTCATAAGCCAACAATGTTTCCGTATGTACATTCACCTTGTGGTGGAGATAAAGTTGTTGTTTAGTAAGCCTATCTAAAAATAACTTCTGACCTCAGAGAGAGGAAGTTTGCATGCAGATTCTCCAGAGAACTGGTATACAACATAATTAAAAAAAAAACAACCTCTTTGTTCCATTTTCAGCAGTCAGGAGCTGACCGATGACTCTTTTGATTATGTTGTCATTCCTACAGGTACTGTTACGTCCCCCTACATTACACTGTGGTTACCCAAAGTCACAAACGTTTATGCTTTCACTCAGTTATATAAAGTGCCCCAAAATGCACTTAAAAACGTTTTTGTATTGCATCACTCAATCAAACCAAGTGTCTTTTATTTTTGAAGAACAAGCACACTTTTCTGGCCAAAGGTGTCAGGAATAAGATAATAATATTCAAAAATAAGACAAAAGTATTGTACAATTTCTGGTTGGAGTTCACAATTCAAGTGATGAATAACAAACAACCTTTCATTGACAAACAAGAAATGTACTATTAAATCAAAATATACTAAAAAGGTTTTCTTTATGTTGCAGTATAACAACATATTTTTTTTCCATTCATTTACTGTCTCAAAGAATTCGGTCATTTCTACTCTTCAGTTTGTAGACTTGATTCTCTTAATCAGTTAGTAAATGGAATATTTGTACTCAGCACCATGACATACTTCCATTACATATTTAAAATATATTTTTCTGAATTATAAGTGGCAATGGCACAACACAATCAGAATTGAGTCATTTTATTTGGCATATTGGCATGTAGTGGAAGTATGTCTTGTTGATCTCCATTTTGATAGGAAATAATTTGAACGAGTCAAAATCTACCACATCACTTCACAAGAGAATCCCTACTGACAGGTAAAATAAAAACTAAAGATTATTATCACATTTATTAATTTAAAATTGTCACACTGCTAAAAAAAATCATGTAATTTTGTATAAATCTAGTGTCTCAAGAGCATCAGCTCCTCCCTTCCTAATGCGCTCCAGACCTCAGGCCCTGCGTGTCACTGGTCGCGCACTCACCGTGGTTTTTCAAGGAGAAATGCTATTGAACCAACTACAGGTCATTGGGGGTAATAAGACCGGTGTGTTCGTGCATCATGTGACCGAAGGATCATCTGCTCATACCAGTGGCATCAGCTCTGGAACTCAGATACTTCAGGTGAGAACATCTAGATTCTGAACACTATAATTTTTGTTTGAAGAAGATTTGGTTATAATAACACTTATGGCCGGGTTCACGGACAAGACCTAAGTCTTGTCCCAGGATAAAATGCATGTTTGAGCTGTCTGAACTGACTTGCACTGGAATCTCTTAAAATATGTCACTGCCAATGTTTTGTCTCAAGATGCACACCAGTAATATTTATAAAGTGTTTAGGCACGTTTATAAAAGCTACTTAAATGTCCTAATTGAGCTAAAGCCTAATTCTTAACAGACAGGGCTTAATCTATGGGGAGGTGGGGAGTGGGAACCAGTCTAACTTGATAGTGAAGTCATTTATATGGTGCTTTTAACAATGTAGTTTGTTTCAAAGTTGCTTTACAGTGATAATAGTACAGTAACAGATCTACAGTAACATATCTTGTTTTGGCTTATAGCAGCTCTTGAGTAAAGTTATTGTCCAGCTAAAGTTAGTTTTGAGTTTTGATTCACTTCTGTTGCAAAGATAATTAGATATTTACTTCGGGGCCATTAACACGACACCGTTCTAACAGAAAACACTCAACACTCTCAACAGTGCCTGGTGGCTCGAGAACGCAAACCCTGAAATAGATTCGAAGGTGCCTTGAAAAATTATGAAAAAAGGTTATCTCTGCGCATCACGTGTTTAGTCTATAGGTATGCGCATTTGAATGTAAACGCAGGCGTGTAGTCCTTCTTTACAAACCAACCCTCAACAAACTACTTGTCTGGCCTTAATAATTTACAGTATAATAAAGAATTATTTATCAATTCCGCATAGAACTGGAATTATCCCGACAATGTTTTATCTGTACAGAGTTAAAGGGAAGGGCAGGAGGCCTTCACTGGGGAGATACTAGTTTACACTTCAGGACTGTGTTGTCGTCGTGTCCAGACGCAGGTCCTGCATCCGATCTGGATACGGCCTGGATCCGGCGGACTGCAGTAAACCTTGGGATAAACAGAGAGCATAATATTAGCATAGACACCATCCTTCTTAAAGGGGGGGTTGACTGCTTTTCTTCTTTACATGATTGTATTTATGGGTTGCAATATATGTATTCGTGGTTTTTCTTTTTTTAAAAGTCTTATTTTTCATAAACTTCACGTTTATTGTCAGCCGCGCTATCCTCTGTCCCCTGAACGAGCGGTTCACTTCCTGATTCTATGAAAACACTCCCTCAGAAACACGTAGTGGGCTCAGATTGGTTAGTTTGGCCCGGTGTGTTGTGATTGGCTAAACTGTCGCTCACGTTGTCCGGAAGGTTAACGCCCATTACCTTTACGTGCGAAACGTGCATGTCATGAGCTCCGGTCCAGATGTAAATATGTGTCGAACTGCAGTATCAGTTTCAGGCATAATCAGACCAAGAAAGCTGCGATGAAGAGAGTCAAGCAGAACCTCACCACATACTACAGCTCTTACTAAACGTTTCTGAATGATAACTTGCTACATTTTTTAAATTTATACACGTTTATTTTACACAATAGCATCTGACTGGCAACAATAGCAACTGACTGGCTACTAATGTTATACTCAAACAGCATTGGCATGTTCACGTTCTTGATCAAATCGAAAATAACGTCATAAAGCATATATACATGAAAAATACGTTTAAAACATTAGTACTTATTTTTATTTATTTATTTATTTATATCTTTATTTGACATGGACATACAATTACATTGGACGAGCCATATGCATTTGTTTTTAGTGATTATAGCATACATGCTAATTTTCAACACCTGTCCACGGGAGGCTTTTAAAAATAAAATAAAATACAGTAACAAGGGAGAAAAAATAAATAAATAAAAAATAAAAACAACAAGTATCAGAATAATAATAATAATAATAATTCATTACATTTATATAGCGCTTTTTCTGGACACTCAAAGCGCTTTACATAGAGAGGGGAATCTCCTCAACCACCACCAGTGTGCAGCATCCACCTGGATGATGCGACGGCAGCCATAGTGCGCCAGAACGCTCACCACACACCAGCTTACTGGTGGAGAGGAGACGGTGATGAAGCCAATTGGTATAGATGGGGATGATTAGGAGGTTACACCCCTTCTCTTTCGAAAGACATCCTGGGAATTTTAATGACCACAGAGAGTCAGGACCTCGGTTTAACGTCTCATCCGTCGGTTTAACGTCTCATCCGAAGGACGGTGCTCTTTGACAGTATAGTATCCCCATTACTATACTGGGGCATTAGGACCCACACAGACCACAGGGTGAGCACCTCCTGCTGGCCTCACTAACACCTCTTCCAGCAGCAACCTGGCTTTCTCAGAAGGTCTCCCATCCAGGTACTAACCAGGCTCAGCCCTGCTTAGCTTCAGTGGGCAACCAGTTTTAAACCAGTGGGCAACCAGTTTTCCTCTCTAGTTTTAAATTAGTGGGCAAAGCATTCCAGAGTTTTGGCCCCTTTACAGAGAAAGCAGACTGAACAAAAGAGCTCTTACACTTTGGAACTAGACAGTCACCTCTGACAGTGGCCCTTGTGTTCGCCCTATGAGAACTTTGCCGTCTGCTTACTAATTCAGAGAACATTGGTGAAACATGATTATTTAAACATTTATAGACCAATTTGATAAAATTAAAATCAATAAAACTGTCGAAGCCCATAAGCTGATGCTTTGTTAAAACATCACAATGATGCCACTTCATAGGTTTCCGGTCCATAATGTTTATTGTCTGTTTGTAGATGGAGAAAATAGGTTTTAGTTTGGATGGGGATGCTTGTGACCATGATGTAATGCAATATGATAGATGTGAGAATATCATCGCATGCATGTAGAGTTTTGCAGTGTGACAAGACAGATCTCTTCTTATAAATCGAAAACAGTTTATATTTGGTTTGACCTTTTTACATATGTACTTAACATGATTGTCAAATTTTAAATTGTTATCTACAATAATCCCAAGGACGAAGTACTTGACTTCGTTAACTACTTCTATTACTTCTTTTTCTATCTGAACCTCAAATATATCACTTAAAGGCCTATTTCGTATGGAGAAACACATAGAGACTGTTTTCTTAACATTAAGGGATAAATGGGATGACTCGAGCCATTTAGAAATATTAATTAATGCTTTTGTCAGGTGTTCACCTGCCAGACTAGATGTTTTAGCGGAAACATGGACAGTGTCATCCGCATACATCTGACAGTTTATGCCCAGACAGCATTTTGGTAGGTCATTTATATACATAGTAAACAACAATTGGGCAAGCACAGACCCTTGCAGTACTCCCATATTATTGGCTTGCAGAGTTGACCTCACCCCATTTACCCTAACACATTGCTGTCTTTCGCTCAAATACGACCTAAACCACTGCAAAGATTCAGAAGACATTTTAAAAAGATTTAATTGTTGTAATAAAATACTGTGATTGACAGTGTCAAAGGCCTTTTTTAGGTCCAGGAACACTGCTCCGACAACATTTCCTTCGTCCAGTGATTCCTTAATTTTGTCGAGTAAATAACAGTTTGCTGTTTCGGTGGAGTATTTGTCTCTAAATCCAAACTGCAGTGGATAAAGCAGCTTGGACTCTAAATGTTCCGCTAATTGCTCGGCAACAATCTTTTCCTGAACTTTTGAGACTACAGGAAGAATAGCAATAGGCCTATAATTGCTTGCCAAATCCTTATCACCCGTTTTATAGATTGGTGTAATTATTGCTGTTTTCCAGCCCTCTGGGAACGTTTTTGTTTGTATTGACAAATTTATTAAATAAGTAATTGGCTCTAACAGACAGCTTCCATATCTCTTAATTAGTGTAGCGTGTATGTTGTATATGTCCTTAGACATGGAGTTGCTCATATTTACAATCACCTTTTTAACTTTATCACAGGATACCTCTTTAATACAGAAGAAGTCTGTGTGAGCATTGTCAAACTCTTCAGGAGATGACTTGATATATTTAAAATTACTTGCTTCTTGTACGGAATTAATAAAAAAAGTATTAAAAACATTTGCAATAGCCTCATTACCATGAGTCTGGACCTGACCATCTTTAAGACCATTTATTTGTAAGTGTTTTTGTCTACTTGAATTGGTTATTCTATTTATATGTTGCCACAATTTAGAACTATTTCCACCGGCTTCTTCAATTAATTTAGAGAAGTAATTAGTCTTGGCCTTTCGCACGCTGATACTACTTTGTTCCTCAAGCTCGTATAAGTAACGTGATCAGTATTAATTTTTTTTAAGACTTTTTAAGTGCAATTTCTCGCCTTTTAATGATCTGAAGTATGTCACTATTAAACCATGGAAGATGGTATTTTTTTGGTGTCTTTTTCCAGGTTTTTGTATATTTACTTATTAGGTCCCCTAACACAGAGTTAAAATTGCTTGCACTGTGGTTTAGATCTGTTTCTTTGATTACCCTTTCCCAGTTAGCTTCCCTTAAATCGTGTTCAAAATTTGCTTCTTGGGACTTAGGTATTCCTGTTGATATGGTTGAATTTTCTGTTTTGTAATGGTGAAGTAAACGTTTTTTTTTTTTTTTTTTTTAGTTTTCTCACTATCAGTGTCATGTTGTGATCTGAAAGGCCAGTGATGAGATTATAAGTTTTTGTTACTCTCTCTGATTAGTAAAAATCAGGTCAATAAGAGTTTCACTCTTTCTAGTGATTCGAGTAGGTCTATCAATCAGTTGTTTGAATTTAAATTTCTCCATAGTTGATTTTAATTGTAGTTTGCCACTTTTAACCATTAATATTAAAGTCCCCAAATATCATACATTCACAGCGATTGTCTGCGAGAGAAAGAAGATTTTTCAATTCGTTGTAAAAATTCAAATCATGACTTAGAGGATTATAGAGCACAACTATATTAAACTTAATTTTTGGAGAGAGAATTACATTCAGTCCCAAGCACTCCATGTTCACATTCAGTTCAAGTTCTACACTTTTAAAATGCTCCCTAATATAAATTAAAACGCCCCCACCCGTTCCTTTATCCCTATCTCTCCTGTAGCAAGTATATTCTGGTATACTAATTAAGGCAGTAGGAACATTATGATTCAGCCAAGTCTCAGATATACACAAAAAATCTAAATTAGAATCAATAAGTAAATTATGTATTTGGTCTATCTTTGGCAGTATGCTTCTTAAATGTATATGTCCTCCCAATATTCCTTTAGGTTTTGATTCAGAGTTCCAGATGATTCTGGCATGATTAACCATTTGAAAGAGTCTTGACTTCCTCTGTTTCAACATTGCATGATTTATTGCAAGTGTTTTGACCCTTGTGGGACTCCGTCTTTGTTGACATTTGTATAGAAAATTCAGGTCCATAATGTTTGTACGCGTTTGTCGTAGACACAAAACAGCATAGGCTAACTAGTAGTGGCTATAAAGCCAGCGCTGGCATTTGAAAAAAATAAAACAAGGCTACGTCTGGAATTATACATGCAAATACATTTAAAATGATGAAGTCTTAGCCTAGCTACTTACAGATTGTGGCCCAACACTGCTGCCTCTTGTTTTTAAAGTCGGAACTGCTTCATGTTTTAGTAACAGTTTCTTGTTGAATCCGGTGTTGAACTCGTGGAGATTCTGGAAGCTGTCTTCCGTAAAATGCGCAGCACAGAGAGCTAGATTACGATCGTCATTTTCAGGAACATAATCAAACATAAATTGTATCCATTGTTGAGGAAGTATAGCGTCCATGGGAAGCCCGAACACAGAAGACCTGACAGCTGCGTGAACAACACACTCAACAAGTCGATGTGCCTCAGAAATATGCGCATGCCATTTTCTGCATATTCTGAGGGAGGGGTTGATGCAAATGTGTGGGTTAGTGACGTACCATAACCCAGCTGTAGTCCCAATCGAGTCGTTTTTGTAGGCAATATACTTCCTGATTTTTAAAAGACGATATCTCTGCTTACACTGAACTTTCAGCTCTGCAACTTTGCAGATACTGTTCATGCACCAACAGCAACATTACACACTATTTAAAATGAAAAAAGTGAAATTGCAGTCAACCCCCTCTTTAAGATGTAACAAGTACATTTATAGTACTCACAGGATTTATGGAAAGTGTTCCCAGTTCCGGCTGACCTAATCTATGCAGCCTAACATTGAATTATAGACGTCTGTAATGTGTTATGTGTATGTTATGTGTATAATGTTTTATGTGTAACTACTATATATATCCCTGGAGAGAGATATTCAGGGTTTTTTTAGCAGCAGTTAAATTGAGTGGGAACTAATCAAAGCAAAAAATGTATATTTATAGCTGAAGTATGAGCAGGAGCAGAGAACTGTACAAATGGTTCTGGAAGACACCACTATGGAGGAGGCCCTGTGGGCCCTGGGGCAGGTCCAGGGACTTTGCCACATTTCACTGAGACCCAGCCAAGATGGTAAGGGCAAAGAAACACAATCGCACAATCATACATGCTGGTGAATTTAATTTCACCAAATGCATGTTCCTTGATCAACATCTTTGTTGATCCTGGAACAACATTCCAATGAACCAATTAGATTTGAGGGACAAGTTTATGTCAAGTTTAGGCTTCCAACCAGGGTTAGGTTCTTCTACATCAGTGTTATTCTTCTATCATTTTCCTCTGATTTTAGGGATAAGTTATGAGTAGGGTTAGGTTCAGGGGTAGAGATAGGGGTAGGGCAAAATTTTAAGACTGGAATGTTGCTCCAGGATCAACAAATTATGTTGATACTGAAACAAGTCTTACTTGGCAAAATTATGGTGACAGAAACACTATATATTTAATTATTTATTTTAAAGCAATCACTTATGTGCTATAGAGAAAATTAGAGTAGTGTATTGCGCTGACAATGGTAAATTCATGGGTTTGATTCACAGGGAATGCATGAACTGATATGTATACTTTGAATGCAATGTAAGTCACTTTAGATAAAATGTCTGCCAAATTCAAACCTGTATACATGAATGTAACATTGTGTTCCTCGTTATTTCAAACTGAATAAATGCATTGCATTGCACAGGCAGGTCAGGCTGTCATGAGGTAAGAGAGCCAGATAGCAGGTGCGGAGAAATAGTATGTTTAATTGAGAGAAGGCTTGCCAGGAGATCGATAAACAACACAAATACTCTAAATAAGAATGTAGAGCTTCTTGTAGAAGGACAACATTCAAATAAAGTCTCTGCTAGAAGAAACAACTTAGGTTTGACTGGTTTGTCAATAGATCTCAAGGATGCATACTTCCATTTATCCATCGTTCAACAGCACAGGAAGTTTCTGAGGTTTGTTTTTGGGGCGTATCAATATCAAGTTTTTCCTTTTAGCCTAAACTTGTCAATCCACACTTTCATGAATGTGATGCCGGTACCGTTGTGTGGCAGAAACACGGGAAGGAGGCTGGATCCAAACGCAGTGTATAGGCTTTATTTAGACAAACTACATATTTCAACAAAGACTCAGAAACAGGACTCAGACACAGGAGCGACTAACATCGACTTCACACGTTCAACAACTCACAAACTAAGACAGAAACACAGGGCTTAAATAATCAGACAAGCAAACTTAACAAGGTAACAAGGGGGCGTGGACAATAGGAAACACCTGGAAAACTCAATAGACAGGGAACCACTAATAATACAAAGACAAAGACACAAAACCACATCATGACAATGAATGCGTGGATGCAGCACTGGTTCTTTTGCGACTCCATTTGTACACTGAACTACATAGACGAATGGTTGATCTTAGCTCAGCCAGAACAGCTTTCTTCCCTGGGTGCCAAAACTAGGGAGCAGACATCCTGTTGACGCAGGGGCTGAGGCCTGGGGAATGAAGACTCCACTCTGAGGTGGTTCCTATGTCAAGTCAAGTCCAGTCACCTTTATTTATACAGCGCTTGTTACAATTCTGATTGCTTTGACAGTGGCTCAGTGGTTCATGTAGGTTGTCTACAAACTGAAAGGTTGGTGGTTCAATCCCCGGTTCCACTGTCCACTTTGGTTCTCCCGAGGCTACGCTACGATTCCTTTTGGGTGGTATGTCTTTAGGGAGAGACCCATTGGTAACTTGTTTTTTCGTGGTGCTTTGAGGATCTATAGATCTAATAGCATTCTATAGATCTATAGCATTATATTTAGATCGTGGCATGAAAGGTTGCAGTAATGAACATTGTAGCCCATGTATCAAAGACATGTTGAGCGCATGAATGTAGTGATCTTGTCATTGTAACTCAATTTCTCCACTCTCGCGAATGCTTTAATCATAACTAACAGTGCAAACACAATATAAATAAGAGATTCGTCATTGATTTTAAGGGGAGTTTTTGTGGGAGTCCAGAACTCAGTTATTGATAAACTCATGCTGTTTGTTTGGCAACCCCAAAGGGAGCATTCTAAGATCGCTTTCTATATATAATTGAATCACAGTTTAAATAACAGATTATTTTCATCCTACTTAGAGAAACAATGTGAAGTTGACCGTTTAGTCACTGGTTTGATTTACTGACACAATGACAACATCATTACATATCAGAAATCACTGGTCCAGAGTCACAGATCAGGCATTTGAATTAACAGTTACTTTTGTGGCGTTACTGTTGAGTCCATATCATAAAAGTCTGCAAAGCTTGCACCAAAATTGCAACTGTGTTACACAGAATCCACAGTGAAAAGTATCAAATACAAATAAATAATGCTCAACTGAGACTTTTATATTGTTGAAATAACTACATTCCTAGCATTAGGATCCTTGGGAAATTGCAGAGGCGACATTATAAATAAGCACATTCTGAGTTGTTCTCTGGTCTTGGCTACAATAAAAAGCTGTTTTTTGGACTAAAAAGTAAGTTCCCTTTCGTAGTCACTTCGAGTTACGTCAGAAGAGACGGAGAATGGGGGTTTCGCATGAAAGCCAATCCTCTTCGAGTATTTAACAACGAGCCAATGGCATGCAATGCCTTGGGGCTGCGGAAATTTGCATAGCGTACTCCGCCCTACTCTGTGAGTATAAAAGGAGGAAGTGAACGCAACCGCAGTATGTTTTCGCTTCGGAGCCAAGAGAACTCTTCACTCCTAAAGCCATTCTCACTGATCCAAAGACTCTTCGAGACGAGCGTTCTCTTCAGTGTTGGTGTGACGGCGGTACCCAGCGAGATTCTGCATCGCCTGCGATCTGAGCAGTGGTCTGCCAGACTTTGCGCTTCTCCCTGGTCGCCTCAGCGCTGAAAGAGTGAATTTCCTCCTCTCATTGAAAGAGCTGCACGTGGCACGTCTTTTTAAAGATGTCTCGCCCGTGTTCTTCTGGGTGCGGTCGATTCATGTCATCTTCTGATGGTCACGATCGCTGCTCTGTATGCCTGGGCATTCAGCATGCAGCAGCAGCGTTCGTGGATGACTCATGTTCCTTCTGTGGGAACATGACCATCTCTACACTGAGATCTAGACTCAATGATCTGACTAAAGTGAGAGTCCCCGTCCCCGCTTCTCGATCAGCTTCTTCCACGAGAAGCTCGTCGACCCGCGGACAGGGTGATTTGACGGTGACGGTGTGGAACAAAGCCCCGACGATTCCTCGGGCCACACCCCCCGCCCCAGTGTTAGAGCCAGCGAGCGCCGCTTCGATTCAGCCGTCTACCTCTTCGCAGGTACCGTCTGTTTCGTTCGGCGCTCCAGATGATGATGCGATGTCGATCGCGGCATCACAAGGCGGGCTTGATTCTTCGGGAGATGAGGATGCGGCTGCGTTGCCTTCCTCGGGAGTGCCAGCGTTGCCCGTGTCTGATCCCGAGTTGACGGCCATGCTTTCTCGGGCCGCCGTGAGTATCGGGTTAGAGTGGAACCCACTCGGGTTAGAGTGGAACTGCCCCGATCTCTCACGGATGGATAATTGGTTTTTGGGCAAGGCTGCCGCGGCAAGGCCACAGCCAACCCCAATACCTTTTTTCCCCGAGTTGCATGCGGAGCTGACGCGCTCTTGGAAGGCTCCTTTGTCCTCTCGAGAGCGCGCTCTGATCTCCCCCGCCTTTCCTCCCCTCGATGGTGGGGCCGCCCGTGGGTACGCTGGGATGCCCCCGGTGGAGCGTTCTGTTGCGATGCGCTGTGTCCACAGAGCGCCTCCTCCCGTGGTCCTCCTAAGCACCCATCCAAAGCCTGTAGGTTCTCGTCTGCTATGGCGGCGCGTTCCTATAGAGCGGCGGGACAGGCGGCCACCGCTCTGCATGCGATGAGCACCTTGCAGGTTTTCCAAGCCAAGTTGCTCAGAGATATGCACGAGGGGGGGACTGACCAATCGGCTTTCAACGAACTGCGAGTGGCCACAGACCTTGCTCTCCGGGCAACGAAGGTGGCGGCTCGCTCCGTTGGTCAGGTGATGGCCACTAGTGTGGTCCAGGAGCGCCATCTCTGGCTGAACCTCGCAGATACACGGGATGCCGAGCGGACTCGTCTGCTCGACGCCCCGTTATCTCAGGTTGGCCTTTTCAGCGGTGCAGTCGAGGACTTCGCCCAGCAGTTCTCGACTGCCCAGAAGCAGACGGAGGCGATCAAACATATTCTGCTCCGACGGCCAGCTGCTGCCTCCACCCAGCCGTCGGTACAGACGCCTCCCTCTGCTCGCCGCTGAGGACGCCCCCCTACGGCTCCCCTCCCTCCCACGCGGCCCCAGCAGCGGCCTTCACCCGGGGAGGAGGCCGTAGGCAGGCGTCACAGGCCCCTCAGGCCGCACGCCCCGCTAAACGCCAGGCTAAGCGACGTTCCTGACATGGGCTGCTCAGTGGTGATGTCGAGTTTTTCCCAGGAGGCGGTAGCAGGCCCCCTCCTTCCCCCGGTGGAGGGCCGGGGGAGAATCTTTTGTTCTCAGCTCCCCGCTGCTCACCCACGGGTGGGCAGCACCCTGAGTTGGTTAAAGAAAGACTTGACATCATCACTGAGCACAGAGACAGGAATGAGTGCGCTCGACGTACCAGTGCGTCAGCCCACTCATTCCTCTCTGTCTCTGAGGGTGCGGAAGGGAGCGTGTGTCGTCCCTCGACTACGCCGCTCCCCTCCCCCTCTATCGCCAGACCCCCGGCAGAACAGACCCCCGTGGAACGCTGGTCCTTCCCTGGTCTCTTCTGTCGGGGAGCGGGCTTCCACTGCGCATCCGGGCGGGGTAACTCCTGCGCGCATGCCAGTCGACCCGCCTCGCTGCCCCTCCGGGGGGACGTCTGTGGTTCTCATGACCCCGCTGGTTCACTTCCTGGAAGCTTGGCTAGAGCTTCCCGCTGGGCTCAGTTCGCACGGTCTCCTTCCCGTTTCAGGGGAGTTCGCTCCACGATGGTCGGTGGCAATGCCCCGGTCATGAGAGCGGAGATTGCCACCCTGCTGGCGAAGGGTGCAATCGAGACGGTCCCTCCAGCCGAGATGAGGTCCGGGTTTTACAGCCCCTACTTCGTTGCCTATTACATCCCACCTACTTGGTGGGTTACGACCGATCCTGGATCTGCGCATTTTGAACCGTGCTCTCCATTGACTACCGTTCAAAATGCTCACGGCCAAACGCATTTTCGAATGCGTTCAGCCTCAGGATTGGTTTGCAGCGATCGACCTGAAGGACGTGTACTTTCATGTCTCCATTTTGCCTCGACACAGACCGTTTCTTCGGTTTGCTTTCGAGGGCCAGGCATATCAGTACACGGTTCTCCCATTCGGGTTAGCTCTGTCCCCTCGCGTGTTCACGAAGATCGTCGAGGCAGCCCTTGTTCCCCTTCGCGAACACGGGGTTCGCATCCTGAACTATCTCGACGACTGGCTGATACTGGCACACTCTCGAGAACAGGTTTGCGAACACACAGAGACTTGGTGCTCCGGCACCTAGCCCGTCTGGGCCTTCGGGTCAACCGGGAAAAGAGCAAACTTTGCCCCGTGCAGAGGATCTCTTTTCTCGGCATGGAGATAGACTCGGTCGCCATGTCTGCGCAGCTCACGAGCGAGCGCGCGCACTCACTGCTGACTTGTCTTCGACAGTTCGAGGGCAAGAGTGCGGTTCCACTGAAACTGTTTCAGAGGCTCCTGGGGCATATGGCATCCGCAGCCGCGGCAACGCCACTCGGTTTGCTTCATATGAGACCGCTTCAGCTGTGGCTTCGCGATCGAGTCCCGAGGTGGGCATGGCATCGCGGCTCGCTCCGACTTCCAGTGACTCCAGCGTGCCGCCGAACCTTCTTCCCGTGGTTGAACCTCAGTTTTTTGCGGGCCGGTGTCCCTCTTCAGCGAGTTTCCAGGCATCTCGTTGTCTCCACGGATGCATCTACCACGGGATGGGGTGCCATGTGCAATGGGCATGCAGCCGCGGGTTCCTGGACAGGACCCCAGCGCCTCATGCACATCAATTGCCTCGAGCTGCTGGCAGTACCCCTGGCCCTGCACCGCTTTCGAGCGTTGCTCAGGGGTCAACACATACTTGTCCGCTCAGACAACACGACTGCAGTAGCGTACATCAACCACCAGGGGGGGTCTACGCTCACGCCGGTTGTCGCAGCTCGCCCGCCACCTCTTGTTATGGAGTCAGAAGCACCTGAGGTCCCTTCGTGCAGTGTACATTCCAGGAGACCGGAACCTGGCAGCCGACGAGCTGTCACGGATCCGCCTTATCTCCGGCGAATGGCGACTCCATCCCCAGATGGTCCAGCTGATTTGGGACCAGTTCGGGGTGGCACAGATAGATCTGTTCGCCACCCGGGACTCATCCCACTGCGCCCAGTTTTATTCCCTGACCGACGGTACGCTCGGCACAGATGCACTGGCGCACAGCTGGCCGCGGGGCCCACGCAAGTATGTGTTTCCCCCAGTGAGCCTTCTTGCACGGGTGTTGTGCAAGATCAAGGAGGACGAGGAGCAGGTCTTGCTGGTAGCCCCCTATTGGCCCACCAAGACACGGTTCTCCGAACTCATGCTCCTCGCGACAGCACCTCCTTGGCCTATTCCTCTGAGACAAGATCTACTCATTCAGAGACGGGGCACTCTGTGGCACCCTCGTCACGAGCTCTGGAGACTGCACGTGTGGCTCCTGGACGGGACGAGGCAGGTTTGAGTTCGCTGCCACCTGCGGTGGCGGCAACCATCACTTCCGCTAGAGCTTCGTCCACGAGACACCTCTACGCGTTGAAGTGGAACCTCTTCGTCAGCTGGTGCTCTTCTCGCGGAGAAGACCCCCGGAGATGTTCGATCAGTGTCGTGCTTTCCTTCCTGCAAGAAGGGTTGGAGCGCAGGCTGTCGCCCTCCACCCTTAAGGTTTACGTCGCGGCCATTGCCGCCTCTCATGAAGCAGTAGAAGGTAAGTCCTTAGGGAAGCACGACCTGGTCATCAGGTTCCTGAGGGGAGCGAGGAGGCTACATCCGCCTCGTCCTCCCCTCGTACCCTCTTGAGACCTCTTAGTAGTTCTAAGTGCTCTGCAGAGGCCTCCCTTTGAGCCTTTGCAATCGGTAGAGTTAAAGTTTCTGTCCATGAAGACAGCACTCCTGGTTGCATTGGCCTCCATCAAGAGGGTGGGGGACCTGCACGCATTCTCCGTTGACGAAGCGTGCCTGGAGTTCGGGCCGGCTTACTCTCACGTGATCCTGAGACCCCGGCCCGGATACGTGCCCAAGGTTCCCACCACTCCATTCCGGGACCAGGTGGTGAACCTGCAAGCGCTGCCCCCGGAGGAGGCAGACCCATCCTTGGCACTGCTCTGTCCAGTACGTGCTCTCCACACCTACGTAGACAGAACGCGGTGTTTCAGGACCTCAGACCCGCTATTTGTCTGTCATGGGGGGAGCCAGAAGGGAAGGGCTCTCTCAAAGCAACGGCTGTCTCACTGGATAGTAGACGCCATTGCTTTGTCTTACCAGCAGCAAGGCAGTCCGTGCCCCCTTGGTGTGACGGCCCATTCCACTCGGAGTGTGGCCTCCTCTTGGGCTCTAGCGCACGGCGCCTCGCTAACAGACATCTGCAGAGCTGCAGGCTGGGCGACACCCAACACCTTCGCAAGATTCTATAATCTGCGAATTGAGTCCTCTCACGTACTCGCTTCCACCACTACTGGCCCCTTTTAGGTGTCTTCACTTGCTCGCCACTCCACTCCTCTGACTGGATAAGTGCGATATTCCTCAGTGTCTTCCGTTGAAGCCTTGAGTCCTCCAGCACCGATGATGCGGGCACAACTCTTGTTACTCTGGTTGCTGGCTAGGTGCCTCCATATGCACGGTTCCCTATGGTAACTGTCTCATGTGTATTATCCACTGTAAGCCTCTCTGAGCATGTGTCTTCCCTTGGCAAGCCATCTGCCACCCCTGGAGTTAAATTCTAGTAGCCACCTGCGGTTGGTGCTCCAGTGTTCTCCATATGCGTCCTTTCGGCCATATGTGTATTTGTAAGTCCTCCTTCGGTAGGCATCTGGTAGCATGTCCCTCCCGGGATATGTTTCCCAGTGTACCTTGGTAATCCTGTGTCAAAGTAGGATCCCGGTAAAAAAAAAAAAAAAAAAAAAGGTAAGGTCAGGGGTCAAGACTTTTGCAGGGCACTGGAAGACAGCTTGAAGATGGCGTAATGGCACTGACCCCCATTCTCCGTCACTTCTGACGTAACTCGAAGTGACTACGAAAGGGAACGTCTCGGTTACGGATGTAACCCTCGTTCCCTGAGTAGGGAACGGAGACGTTACGTCTCCCTGCCACTTCTGCTGTACCGCTGGGTAGACGCCTAGTTCAGTCTTGGCTCCTCAGCGAAGACATACTGCGGTTGTGTTCACTTCCTCCTTTTATACTCACAGACTAGGGCGGAGTACGCTATGCAAATTTCCGCAGCCCCAAGGCATTGCATGCCATTGGCTCGTTGTTAAATACTCGAAGAGGATTGGCTTTCATGCGAAACCTCCATTCTCCGTCACTTCTGACGTAACGTCTCCGTTCCCTACTCAGGGAACGAGGGTTACATCCGTAACCGAGACGTTTCCAGTTCTGAAATGCTCAAGGAAAGTGTGATTTCTTAATTCATGACCTTTTTGACAGGTGTATGTAGACTTCCACTGTACGTGTTCATTAATTGAACCAAAATGATTTATAATGTTTAAACTTGATTTGGTATGGCTTATTTAATGTACCTTGTAAATAGTCAAGATTGCTCGTTATGGTCATAGATGTACTAAACCAAAATAAAGATCTGCTGATTTTCTCCTAGCCTATGAGAATCTTCTACAGCAGCTAAAAAATGGAGAAGTGATGTCGGGTGATTCCTTCTATGTCCGTGTTAATATGACGTTGTCGGGCGATGTAGCAGGAACTCTGCCGGTCAAGTGTAACGACATCGTCCATGTTACAAAAACTCACCTTTCCAATGGTGGTTTCTGGTGGGCCAGTCATGTGCACCCTTCTCACCTGGAAGACCTTCAGAGTGGGGCTCTACCCAACTATTACAGGTAAGTTTTATTAGCAATATATATATATATATTTACATTGTAAAATGTACCCAGTCAATGTACAATTTTCCTGCGTATATTTCCTGGGATTCAGAAGAAAAGCACAATTTTTTCAATTATCATTGTGTAAGCCCAGCTCAATGGAGGCTTTCGATCAGCGGGTGATGGTCTCTGCGTGTCTTTCCACATGGCAAAGTAATTTGATTAAATGAAATACATTTTCTCATATGCATTTTTTCGTTATTTCATCTGACTCCATAAATGAAAGGGTTTTAATGATATCTGTACATCATTAAATGTGAGCGAATGTCTGACTATTCTTTACTGAAAATAATGCCTGAGTCCGTTAAAATAAAATCAAATGTAAATATAGCTGCGAGCAGCGATGAAGGGCCCAAGCCGGTGGCACCGCAACCCCGGTTCCTTAGTTACCTAAAAGCACCAGGGTGGCCATGCCACTGGCTTTGGCCCTTCATCGCGGATCACAGCTCTATATATATATATATATATATATATATATATACTGTATATATATATATATGAAGCCGGTGGCACCGCCACCCTGGTGCCTTTAGGTTTATTGTGCACGACATGCAAAATGTAACCCTGCTTTGACTGATGCAAGCTCTACAGCACAGTTTACAGTAAGAAAGAATATAGTAAGAAAGAAAAGTAAGCTGTTACTCTGAGATGGTTTGGGAAACAAACATTCATCATGTCGCATTGGTTTTAGTTACTTGTCCTCGAACAGAGCCCTAATCTGTTTATATTTCAGTTACACATTCTACATTGATTAAAAAAGAAAAATCAAATGTGTTTTTAATTCATACAGAAATAAAATATTTATAATTCAGCTGAGAATAAAGTTAGTTCAAATTTTAAGAAAAACAAATATATGATCTGAAATATAGCACATTCATTTTTAAATTCATTCAGGTTCAATTACCAAAAATACAATCTTAATTTAATTTAAAGCAAATAATAAATCTAAAATATATGGGTTATATGCATATTTTGTAAAAAAAGAAAAAAAAGAAAGAAAGATATATATCCAAAAACACAAGGCCTTAAACTTTAACAAGGGTGCAACTCTTATCACTACAACAAACATAGTCACACACACAAGTCAAGTCACTTACATTTTAGATGCAATATTGACTTTTTAGATGCAATATTGACTTTTTTCTGTTTCAGCAGAGAAAATAGTTAAACAAAGATCACAGCGACCCATCGCGCATCTCAAAGCAATGTGTTTTCTCATTACTGAATGATTCAGCATTTTGAATCCATGACTCGTTCATTAAGACGGTCATCTGGCGACACCTTATGGTGATTTAGGGTTATGTTTAAAAGTATCGTTCTTTACAGCGATTTTTAATTGACTCCTGTTAAACCAATCTCGTAACATTATTGTGTAACCGATTTAATTTGATCAGCCTTACCTAGGGTAACAGCCCTATAGTGTCTTATTATTCTAAATTATTGAATTTATTGATCAAATTTACTAATGAAAAATGAAGCATACATTTATTAAGACTAGGCTGCCCTGCAGATATTAGGCTACAATATGCAGATTTAAATATACCATTTATCAAATAATCTGTTTATTTTTAGGTTACACATTACATTGTTTAAAAAATAAAAATCAAATGTGACCCGCTCTGGCGAAATGAGTCGGAAGTTGCAACCTTCCATTTTAAGATATGGGCCGATTATGTGGAAAAACCATGAAATAACAAAAAAAAAAAAAAAAAAATATATATATATATATGCTAATTTCAAAGAACAGACATTCAAAAATAATCTCACAGGGTTTCGTAGTCGAGATAATTGAGTAAAGGTATTTAAATAACGATTAAAGTTGTCAAAGCTTTAAATTCGCTGAAATAAACATTGCTCTTCTCAACTCCCCTCGTCACCTCTGAGCATTTCCCGGGTATCCCCTGAAACGTTGAACTCACTGGAGGCTTCTAACCTAAACTGCGTGAGTATATTTATCTGCAAGAAGAATATAGCCTATGTAAGGCTGTAACGATCGCGACACTCAGATCCACGAACCTGTGTCGCGGTGTGAGAAGACAGAATCACGACACCGACACGTCCCTTCAACTCCCGAAGTTATCCTTCACGTCCAGACCCAATGCTAGCTACAACATCTTTAAATTACTATTAGTATTATTTGAAGTTAACATTATAAAATACGTAGACTTACACCACAAAACTTAAATTATTACTAAATTTTTTTAAAATTGGGCAATTTCAGCATTATGGAGGAGATCCAATTCCCAGATAATTAAATATTTTAATAAATTGGCCTATGTGAACCACACTGCACAAACCAAAAGTAATACTCACCGGATGAAGAAGGGTTGACTCTCTCCAGAACATAAAATCTTTATTTTATTTTCCGTGTTCGCATTTATGAGGAAAAACAATCCGAACGTGACCGTTCTCTGGAAGCAGCACTAAAACTTTCACATAGCTTAAACATGCAAGCACAAAGCCTTTCTTTAAAGTAAATTTCGTTTTAAAATAATTATCTTAATTTAAATCAATGTTTCATCAACCAATTACTAGGATTTAATAATAAGAAATAAATTGCAGACAATAGGCTAGGCCTAATCACGACGCGGAGACGCGCGGCACGTGAACTGAAGCTTGTCTCATGAACCGAAAGTCAGCGTATAAGGTATCCTCACAGACATATATATTGAAATGTCTACTTTTAAACACAACCATTCAAAATGAAAGAAAACAGACTGCTCTCTGCTTATGTGGGCTAATCCGTATGAAAACTGAATTTCTCTCTGACTCCTCTTTAATCTTTCTGATTTTAGAACATTTTTGTAAAAGTGACTTTTTAATTATTTATTTCAAAAAAATTAAAAATAAGTTGAGTTTCAGCCTCGTTAAATTGCATTTATATATGTTAATCTATTTGGTCAAATTAAGCTATATAAAATAAATAGTTTATCCCTTAAAATGCTATGGATTTTGAAAGATATCAAAAAAAAAAAAAAAAAAACGGGCAAAAAAACTTTAAAAGCGATTTTCTTAGGTTTTCAATTGGAAAAAAAGGGCAGACGACCAGAATTCAAATCTGTATATCTTTACAACCATTCAAGGTATGACCAAGGTATCATTTGAAAGCTTACAGTGTCCTCTTTCCATTAATATCAAAATCTCAATTTTTAAATTTGGGTCACTGTGACTAATTTTGCTGGATCAGGTCGGTCACAAATGTGTTTTTTATTGTAGTATTATTTTATACAGAAATACATTATAATTATATATAATATACAAAATATAACCGTGGGCGCGATTAAACAGTGTTACAATAAAACTCAACATTGTGTTTTTTAAAAATAAATTCAAATAATACAAATCCCGAAATTGCGCTAATTTTAAAATTAAACTAAAACTCATGGCTGCACAAGCATTCATAACTGTGCGCGCCAACAGCGAGGAACCAGCAGAACAGAGTGAACGTTCATTCTGTTTAGTTCAATCCTACTTAATAGGAATTTATTTAAAATGCTTGCTCTACTCCACAACATTAATGTCTTGTGCGGATATCTGTATTTTGACTTTCGGTTTTAAGTAAGCGATTTAAAAGTTCCCGAGTCCCAGCGGAGTCACACGTTGATTAACCGGTGGGAATATACACAATAGGCCTAACTGATATTGAACACAAGAGGGCAGTATAGCACTACGTATGACTCAGATTATTTTTTCTTCTTCTGAATTTTACAACCATTCTGGCTGTTTTTGAACGTAAACATAATTCTTAAATGAAAAAAGGGAAAAACTGGTTTAATTATAATATTTGTATAATTTAATTTAGAAACAAATGATGTATAATTACATTTTTAGAAGATATGAGGCTTTTAGTGTTTACTGTTTACTTTTTTGACATTACTTTAATCTTTTGCCAAAGTTGCACATGCCTACTGGCTAATAAATGTGATGTATCTGTCGAGCTATCTGTATCTATCTGTTTCAAGCAATTTCAAGCATGCTAAGAGTCCCAAAAGTATCAAAAAAGAATGTTAAAGTTTGATTTGTTGCCACAGCAACAGTATCAAAGATATCAAGAATCCATTCACAGGTCTACATCTGCTGTATTTTTACATTATACAGATGAAGTTTGAAGCAAATCGGTTAAAAATAAGAGGGTGATATCAAAGCATTTTGAAAGTGACACACTTCCTGCTGCCAGTTGGTGGCGCTATAACTTTGACTCACAATAGTCACATCCATGTAATCAGCCTCTTACAGTGAACACACTGCTGAAGTTTCATCAAGATCAGTTAATGTATGCTGAAGTTATAACACACTTCCTGTTTCACGTTTCTCGCCATAATTTTGTTTCCTCGCCACGGCCAAACCGTTCGAGATATCAAAAATCCCCTCGCAAACTTTCATCCTCAATGCCTTGACTTCATGCTGACCGAGTTTCGTGCCGTGTGTTTGAATTCTCTAGGAGGAGTATTGCACATTCCATTGCGAGCGTTTTACAAACAAACCTCAATAGCCGACTTCCTGTTTGGCTGGGGTAAAAAGTAAGAGCGTGAGGTATAGATGAAACGATGAGATCAACATGTGTACCGAGTTTCATATTATTACATGCAAGCGTGTTTGATTTATGGACCAAGTGTTCGGACCCCGTTCCAGGGGGCGCTGTCTAGCCCCCCTGCCACACCCAGGTACCATCTTCAGCCCGGCTCTGATGGCTGTGGGATCTGACCTGTGTGCAAAGTTTCAAGAGTTTTCAAACCCGTTAAGGGCCCCAAAAGCCGCTAAGAGTCTCAAAATCATAAAAAAAAAGAATTTTAAAGTTTGATGCGTTGCCACGGCAACAGTATCAAAGATATCAAGAATCCATTCACAGGTCTTCATCTGCTATGTATTTACATTATACAGATTAAGTTTGAAGCACATCGGGTAAAAATAAAAGGGTGAGTTCAAAGCATTTTGAAAGTGACACACTTCCTGCTACCAGTT